GGGGGGGCAGGAAGCGTGCAAGGGAATAGAGGCTGGTAGAGAGGCAAGCAATCTGGGAGTGAATCCACGCTGCTTGCGGACTGAAGGTCACTACAGATTGGACAGTGGACGTGCAGTGGTTGAGGAGGCAGACAGTGGTGATGGTGTTGGGCAAGAGTGGGGGAGGGGGGGGGGAGGTATGATCGTGGGTCGGAGAGGAGGTGAGGAGGTGTGTAGAGGAACTGATATCACACGGGAGAAAGGAAATTAAGCGTACCAGCGCAGTAATTAGAAGCGATGTAGCATGTATGGGAGGGGGGGGGAGGAAAGATCCAAGACCAGTGAGGAGGAATCAAGAACGAAAGAGGAAGAGAATGTGATGGGAAGGAAAGGTAAAAGCCGTTGGAAGTGAGCGGCTGATCCCTCACTTGGGAGTAGATGAGAATGAGCAATAACAGCTGCAAGAATCGGTGTAGAAAGGCAATAAATTAATTCGGGCCCGTCGGAAATTTTTAGAGGCACATGCCTAACAAGCTATACCGCCAAATAGAAAACTCATTGGATGCGAGTCTCAAGTAAGGATGGGAGGGAAAATTAAGAGGAAAAAAGAAACAGAAAATTCAAAACCCAAACGGTGGGATACTGGCCACCATCGGCAAAGGACAACAATAATGGTCGTACGGAGAGCGGTGGGAATAATGGTGGTCCTGGGAAAAATGGAAAAAGGCGAAGGCTGGTCGGAGAGGGTATAAAGACGCAGTGAATGAACGATAATAATAATAATAATTTGATGGATCGATGAACAGTTGGCGAACTAAAAGATGGTTTAGCGGCGGACAACAAAACAGCCCCATCTGACAAGGAAAAGATCGTTGACCAGCCTTGCCTTTTTATTTTATTCAATTGATTTTATTTCCTTTTTCATTTTTGGCTCTTCAAATCTTATTTTACTTTTTTCCCAGTCTTTCTCTTTTATTTGTTCCGGTTCTACCTTGTTTGTAACTCGATCAACCATCCTCAATGGCTAGAAACTGGAAATGACGCTGTTGTCTACATTGAGGTTCTCGCCCAATGATCCCCACGCAAGGCGCCACAAATACTACATAGTATATAGTATGGTACATATACGTGGATGGCCTCTCCATACAGTATTAATGTTGAAAGGAACATTGGTTGGGATCTTAGCCATGAGCCCTCCGTGACTTGGGCCCAAAGTTCATATAAAAATCTCAAAAAATCTTCTTTCCCGCTTCGCTCTTCCTTCCATTCCTTCTTGAATTCTTCTAGGTATCCAGAGGCGTTCATTCCAAAGAAAAGGCGGCCATGTTTCAACGTGGTGCGACCGGAATGTGATCTGTCCTCTGTGGGAATTGAGTCTGCCTGCCGGACGGTCTCCAAGAGCCCTACCAATGGCCCTATGATCGTTGCACAGGTGTGTCGGTACCTCTTGCTTCCCAAAATGAAGACGAAACGAGGACTGGCAGCAAGCAAGACCACTCCTCGTAGGTATGAAGTGGCATCGAGGAATCAATAGATGAAACACCTCTTATGCCCGTCAGTTGTGCCCCTCTCGACCTGGACAGACTTTGATCCAGGAACGAATAATGCAGCCTAATAAGCAGCAGCATCATTTTGCAACCCTATGAATGAATGAATCGATCCCAGCAGCTGTGACGGGATAGTCTCCCCCGAGTGGAGAGAGTCAAGGCAGACCCGCCACGAGCATTGAAACCCACCCTGACAGACCCTCAATCAGGTCTCCAGGACGACCCTCCCTCATCCACTTCCATTGGCCCTCCCGCTGCCAACTCATCACATAATCCTTCCTTGTGACAAAATGTCCGTCGTCCCATGTCACTGATTGGTCGCAATAAGAATTCAATCATGCCTTAGGCACAATGCCTTATTACTTTGTCTTTTCAATCCAATCGAGCATTTACACACGATATCCTCGATCCTCCCCCAAAGTTACTAGCCGTTAGTTTAATCCATTCACTCTCGCCCGACAAAAACTTTGCTTGGTGGGGGATCAACCTCCCCAGCCACCAGACCAGCCACCCGGCCCTTGCTCGGCTCACCACAATTGACTAGTATTCGTAGTTTGCGTTCATCGAATCAACCTTCAAGACGCGGGTGTCTGCCATTACCCGAGGATAGTAGTATATTTATGTACGGAGTATGTTGAACTGCTTACGCGAACCGTGGAACGGAAACGCTCTGTATCCTTGGTTCCGCTGACCCTTATCTTGTCTTCATCCCTCGTTATTTAGCCGGAACTCGGTCGCCGGGGGTTGGTTGTATAGATTGGAATTTTTATGATTATTTTTTTTTTTTACTAAGTGCTGCTTCAATTTAATTATTGCGACTCTCTTCAACTAGGCATACCGGATTTCTCATTTTGCTCCTTTTTATGATCCGACGACCGTACCAAATTCGCATGGTGTGTTCGTAGAAAAAAATAAACCGTAAGAGTCCCCTTTGGCTGCGGGGGACGTCGTATCCGGAGATTGCAAAAGTACAGAAATAGATGGCTGACCCTGCACCTGCGGCCGCATTGCCAATTTTACTACCTTAAGCATCAGAGATGACCTACATGGCCCAGGTAGGGAAACGAGGTTGAATGCTATAATTCTTGGTATTCCTCGAAGACGTATCTAGATACAATTCCATACTTTGGTGTATGAAGGCAAGTAAAATATGATATGCCATGATAATAATATAGGGAAAAAAAAAAAAAAAGATCCAGGTTAAACTCCAGGCCAACGGACAAAAAACATGCAAGGAAGACAATTGCTTTTTCCCTCTACTAGATCGAATCAGTCATCATTATGCTTGCGCTTGAACTTCGAGCCAGGCTGGCTGCCGTAGTTCCGTCGGCCTTGTGGTTGTTTGTCTTTCAGGCTGGAGCCGAGCTGGATATCGATGCGGGGAGGGGTCGAGAACCCGAAGCCCTTCGCTACCTTAACCAAGTCGAGCTTGTGCACGTCGAAGACGGACCGGAGAGAGTGGGAGGCATATGCCTGAAGGTAGGAGCGGTAACCTTCCTTAGCAGACTATTTGCGGATGTGTTAGTATAGGAACATGAAATGATGTCTGAATGAGGGAAGCTTACCTTGTTCAGATAGTAGTTCTGACCAATGAGCTTCTCCAGTTGAGACTGAACATTGACAATCTTCTGAGCCGGGAAGTCAAACTCCACGACGGGTACTCGAGCCTCCTTCAGATGCTTCAAGAACCCTACTTCCGAGGGTTGCAAGAACATCAGACTGCGTCCCTTTCCGTTGGATCCACGGGCTGTACGACCAACACGGTGAATATAGTCGCGAGGGTCATCTGGGGGGTCGAACTGGATAATCCAGTCCACAGCGGGAATCTTGAGTAAGTTAGACAGGTGTAACAGAGATAAAACATCTGAATAGGAAGGCAATTGACATACATCTAAGCCTCGGGCGGCAACGTCGGTACAGATCAGCGTTCCCTGCTTTGCATTGCAGAACTCAAAGAATGTGTTGGTTCGCTTCTGCTGCTTCTGCTTTCCGTGCAAGTCAAGCACAGGGAGATCGATATACTATATTTCAATCGCGTTAGCCTACAAGCCTTTTCTCACCAAATATAAATATACTTACGTTGAGCAATTCACCGTAGTACTTGACAGAGTTGCAGCTGCTCAGGAAAACGATGATCTTCTTCTTAAGGTTGCGCTTGAGGAAAGAGAACAGGAGCAAGAAACGCTTGTCAGCTTCACAGATGACATAACCTTGTTCCAATCCCTCAACAGTACTGTGTTCCTTGCGATGGTCCACGTTGATGTAGAGGGGGCCAGGTCTAAGAGAGATACGAGCCAAATCTTCAACCTTGGTAGTCTGCGTCGCAGAGAACAGCATAGTTTGTCTGTTCTCCGAAGGAAGAATCTTGGCAATTTGGCGCATTTCATCCTCGAAACCGACTTCCAGGATACGGTCCGCCTCGTCAACTGTCAACAGTCAGTCACTCCATTCACCCACTTGTAATGCTAAAGAGGGTCATCATACTGATAAGAGTGCGCAAGTTTTTGAACACAAATCCTTGCGTATTCTGCAGATGATCGAGCAGACGTCCAGGTGTTGCCACGAGAAGGTTAACACCCTTCATGAGTTTCTCCGCCTCGGCTCTCCGGTTTGCACCTCCAATAACAATACCGTAGGTCTGGCTGTGATGCGCCAAGAGTTCCCTAACTTGACCGAAAATCTGAAGTGCAAGCTCACGAGTAGGACTGACAATAACGACACCAGTACCTAGCCAAAAACGCAGGAGTTAGTATACAAAACAGCGGAACCACATGAAAATGCGTAGAACATACCGTTTCTCGGCTTGAATCGCAGAGCGCTAAGCATTTCAATGGCAGGAATCAAGAAGGACAAGGTCTTTCCGGAACCAGTCTTTGCAGCACCAAGAACATCTCGACCAGCAAGCAGAGGAGGAATTGTACGCCGTTGAACTTCCGTCATCGTCTCGAATCCCATTCCCTCGATACCCTTCATGGTCTTCTCTGACAATCCCAGCTCCGTGAACTTCACCGGATCGCCATCTTGCTGGGGCAGACGGATCGTATCGGCAGAAGGAAGATCCTCACCGTTGGCGGCGGGTGTCTCTTCAACATCGCTCTTCTCCTCTTCATTGTCAGAGGCCTCCTGCTCAGATTCCTCCCCATCCTTCTTCTCGTCATCACTAGACATATGTTCGACCTTCTGCTTCTTGATCTTCTCTTTCTTCGCCTTCTTCTTGTCGACGGTAACTTCCTCCTTTTCGGGAGAATCGGTCACGGCTTCAGTTACAGCCGGGGCAGCAGCCTCTTCCTTGCGCGCATGTCCACCATGCTTTCTCTTGCGCTTCTTTGAGATAGATTGGGCGGTGTCCACAGGAATCGGCATTTTGGCTAGAGTTTCTCCAGGGGGATTTTTCCTGGAAAGCTTGCCAGATGAAAATCGTGAGATGCGGAGCCTTTTTTTTTTTTTTTTTCGGCGGAAGACAATTTTTTGCGGAGCGAAAATATTGCCTGGCCAAACTTCCCGCATCACGTGCTGATAGCCACTGATAGCTGGGCGGTCTGAAAATAATAAGCCATACTAATAAGGCATAAACTACCCTATGTGGTAATGGCGCTATTCCGTATGAAGAAGTATGGTATAGCGGCCAGGGGAACAGAATCGTGCAGATCAATATTTTCCATATAAACTTTTGAGATACCCTTCTAAGAGCTTCTATATATATATATCGTACTGATTACTTTCCAATTTTTTTTTTTGACTATTTAGGTAGCCGCCCTGAGAACGCTCATAGCTCGATTGTCTCAGGAATAAACAGCGGATGCACTAAGTTCAGAATCAGGAGTGAGCATGAGTACTGGGCAGTTACTAGATGTATATAAGACTATCCTTGCCAATCGAATGATGCACGTCATCTGCATCGGAGCAGGGCAGTCGGGTTTATATCTTGCATAAACTTAAGACGTCATTTATAGACTATACGCTGGAAGTGTATGGAAAGAGTGAAGATATAGGAGGAGCATGGTTCGAGAATAGATTTCCCGGATGTGACCATGTCCTCTAGAGGAGACGAGTAACAAAGTTTGATAATGAGGCTCAGTCACCTGCGACGTCCTATCGGGATCATATACATCATGGTAGAAGAGAGTACTCATGGAAAAGGCACATGTACACTTACTCCTTTGAGCCTAAATGGGACTGGTCAGCTAGTTACCCCTCAGCGCCGGAGATTCATAGCTACTTCTCCGGGTTTGCGGACAAATATGGTCTTCGCAATTTTATCAATTGGAACCATCAGGTGGTGGGTGCTAACTGGGGCGATGTAAACTCATAGTGGAATGTCCAAGTTGAAAATCCCATGGAAGTGTTTGAGAAAAGGTGTGGCTTCCTGATTAATGGCGCTGGCTATTTAAGTCCCTGGGTTTGGCCATCTATACCAGGCCTTGGAACGTTCAATGGATGGCTACTCCATACCGCAAGCTGGGGTGAATCTTGTCGTTGACTGGAACGCGGATCGGGTTGATTGGGAATGGGTAAGGCTAGTTGCTCCTTCCTGCTCATAGCCCCAAGTTGCTGAGTTTACCAGGTCTTCCGGTATACAGCTGCTTTCTGAGCTTCAAAGGTAAGTTAAGGTATCTTTGTACGCTATATCTCCAACAGCTCCAATAAGGACTGTAGGACATTTCATCGTCTTCATGCGCGGACCGACCTGGGCGACTCCAGAAATGAAATACGGACGACATAGGTACACAGATGAAGAGGAGCAGACATTCCGAGGCCAGCTATGTGCCCCTCTTAAAAGATACGATATCCCAGCAAGCAGCCACCCAAAGATCGAAACATTTAATAACGGATGCGATTGATGATGATACCCTTGCAGAAAAGCTGATCTCTCCGATACCTACCTCGCCAGCAATATATCTTACTGACGATGTTATAGCCCAGTACGGATTACCTAGAAAGCCTCAAAAAGCCCAACGTCACGCCTGTCCATGAGAGTATCACAGAGATAACACCATCTGACGGCATAATGCTAGACGACAGCAAGTGTGTGTTTGATGTTTGGTTTGTGCCACAGGCTTCTACACCAGCTTTCGACCAGCATTTCCGTTTATAGGCCGCGATGACACCAACCTTGCCGAAGTATGGGAAAAGAAATCGCGAAGTTACCTGGGAGTCGCGGCTCACGGCTTTCCGAACTACGTCATGTTACTTGGTCCTAACAGTCCCCTTGCCAAGTCACCCCTCATCGTTTGCATCGAGGCACAGGGACTTTTTTATCGCCAAGTTTTCTCACCTGGTGGCAGAAAGAGGACGTTCGCGCGCTCGAGCTCAGGATGGAAGTGGCCGGTGACTTCATGGAGCAGAAGGACATATTCATGAAGACCACAATCTGGGAGAATGACTGTCGATCCTGGTTCAAAAATGCCAACACCGGTAAGATCAGTGGATCATGGCCAGGGAGCGGACTAAGCTAAATAGAAGCGGTGGCCATTCAGCGGTTCGAGGATTTCCACGTAATATACACGACAAAGAACCAGTTCGCCTATCTAGGGAATGGATTCCGTCAAACGCAATTATAACCTGAAAACGATCTGACACATTATGTGCGCCACAAGGACAATGGCGAATCGGTGTTTCCTGAGTTCATGAGTGTTGATAATGCCAAGGACACCGCCGACACAGCGGCAGCAAAGGAAAAGATAAACTTGTTGGTCTAGCTGTTTATAGGGTTTAGGCAGTTGCAATATGTAGTTATTAGTTACCCACCAGTCGGTTTATCTAAAACGAGATTCTAAGCCACTCATAAAGAAGACCAGGGGTGTACGGAGTCTTTCAACTAGATTAATAGGAATGGGTATGAAACAGACCACTAATGAGGTAAATGGTGAAGCGAGTGGCCAAGACACGCAGTGACAGGAAAAGTTCTTCGCGGTCTGGGTTCAGAAAAGACCCCGTACTAAAAATAGGAAACGCCTGCCGCCCATGGTTGAGAAATCAGCTTCATTTCCAAAACTTCCCTAGATATTACGGGTCATGATTCATTCACTTTACAAGAATTTTATGAACCAGGAAATACAGGAGAGAAATACTATGTCAACTCATCGCGTTCCCCAGGTGTCCGATCATGAGGATCCGATGGGGGTCAAGACGTCATGACACGCATTCCGATGATGGCAGAGGCAACGATGATCAATGCTGATCACCTCAGGGATGGAGGAGGGGAAATTTCCATCGCCAGGGTTTTTATCTATATTCACAGAAACCTGTAGCGATTGTTGTTCTCATTTTAATGAGAATCTACTCCGTACAATGAATCAATTGACGCCCAAGAGAATTTTATTAGCAAATTTCCATTCTTGAGTAATTCAAAAGGGCAACCTGATTGCCCTTGTTTTTGACTGGGAGGGGCTGTGCATTGTAGACTAACGAACAGAATGCCACTTAGTTAGTTCTTGTAACCTTCTTGGTAATCTCAACCCTAGCCGAATTGTTTAATTAATGAAGGGGAAAAAAATACGAATATGCCGACAAGACAGCGGAGACGAGCCTCTTGATATTGATATAATGTGTACTCTGTATGTTACATCGATTGAGAGTTCACCATGAGGTGCGAATGGTTGACAGCTTCGATACAAGTTAACACCACGTTATGAGCATATGAAGTATGGAGTGCATATGCAATGGTACTTTCATTGCATCTCTTACAGGGCCAATAATGACTGGTGGATCTAGCAGCATGCACCGATGTACTCCGTACAGAGTACATACTGTGAGATATCATTTAGGCATTTATTAATAGAAACCCGTGAAGCAGCAGTCGCCCAGTCCTACGAAGCGCGAAGGATGTCAGTAGGCAGAAGGACAAGGCAAGGGAAAAAAAACACAAGTCGCCAGGTACTCCATAGTCGATGTGTTCATTGATAGGATGTGGATGAACGGCGGCGGCTATCCTCAGCATCCGAACGCAAGAAAATAGGGTAAGACGAGCGGCAAGAAGATCCACAGATCATACTACTACTGTGTAGTTGGCTTTTTTATCTTACTTCTTACAGTGTCGTATCTGGAGATGCAACTCCACCAGGTCAAGTCATGGCTGTAATTTCTCAATCCTCTGGTGGTCTTAGGACCATTTCCCATTCCCAGCCTTTTTGCAGGCGCTAACTAGGTTCTCTTGGCCGTTAGTGGTGAGCAAATCAGAGATATGAACCGTGGTCAATGAGCATAACCATCCGCATGCGGGCCCAGAACCAACCCCCCTCCCCTGAGAGACGCGCGTGCGCCGACTGGAACTGAGAAAACGTTAAAAGTGAAAGAGAGAACTCGACTGGTTGTCCGTTTAGAGCGAAAAGTGAGTTAATTTGTAGGAAAGATGGCAAGTTTGTCTGCAGGGTAGTAGTGGTAGCAGTAGTTTTTTGTGTTGGCATCATTCTCATTTCTTGGTTGTTATTTCCGGAATTTCTCATTTTAATTTTTTTTCCTTTTTTTTTCTCTTTTCTTCTTTTCCCCCCCCCCCCCTCCGGTGCTTCCCCATACTTCACCCCTTCGTTTCTTTTGAACCCAACCGGTTGATGTCAGAAGTGTTGTGCTTCAAGACACACATACATACATACATTAGGTCTAGTTGTTGCTACTACGAGTAGTTAAAGGAGAGGAGAACTCATCCATTCTTCAGACCATCGCTACGCCAATTGTGATTGGCTCCAACGTCCTAAGTCCACCCCCCCCCCCCCGTGCTGAGTCAGGGTCTCAGCGTCAGGTGTTTCACGAGCATTCCGACCGTCTCTCCTCCAACCGGGGCTGAGCGGCTTTTATTCTCCCCTGAAGAAATATCGTCGCCTGAAGGAGACAAGAGAGAGGGCATCTTCATCTCTCCATCTTCTTCTTGTCTCTTTTCCCTTCCCTTCTGCTACACTTTTCCCCCTTTCGCTCGTTTCCTCCTCCCCCCAAAACTCTCCTCGCCAATCCGAGTGAGAACGGTCTCCTCTCCGTTCCTGGGAGACTCAGGCAACTATTCGTCTCCCCTGGTCCCGACCCCCTTCAAGGCTATACTGTGTGTCGCCGTCCCGCTCGCTTTATTGTAGCATTCAACTCTCTACAACTCCCCCGACTATCTGACACTCGTTAACTCCTTCCATTCTTTATCAATCGCTACTTTGGTGCCTTCTTTTTCTCAATTATTTTTTGTTTTCCCACCCTCGTCCCTCTCTTGTGCTTTTAATGAACAGTCGCTGTGGTCATCAATTTACCGCCCAGTGATTCTTCAATGACGTGAAGTTGTAACCAATATAGGAAGCTATTTTACAATAATTTTTACTTTCCGCCATCTTGGATACCTCCTTCCTCACTCTCGCTTATAAACGACTTGGCACAAGATTACGACCCAGTGTACCGTGAGACTTCCGCATCCGGCCGGTCCCAAGCTGGTGCTCTGGAGTACCACCTTCTATTCGATCTCGCTTCTGGTGTCTTCCCATTCCCTCGCTCATAAAAATTAAAATTCACATTCGCTATCTACCGGAGGAGTTGAAGCCGGTATTCATATCACGAAAATGCAGTTCAAGGCGCTTCTGTCCGCTCTGCTGCTCGCCTTCTTGAGCGCACCACTAGTAACCGCGACTAAGCTGATCGAATCTAATGCGCTTAACCTGTGCCAAGACAGTTCGAACTTCACAGCAACCCTTTTCAAAGTCACGTTCACACCGAACAACAGGTCGTTGGTCTTCAGTTTCGATGGAGTCGCTGCAATCTCGGGTAAAGTCAAGGCGGAAATCGTCCTTGATGCGTATGGCTACACGGCGCTTAAAAAGGAACTTGACCCCTGTGAGATGAACATTGGGGGTCTATGCCCTATGAGTGCCGGGCCTATCGATGTCCCGAAGGCATCGATCGATGTTCCGCAAGATGTAGTGAACAGTATCCCAGGTGGGTACAGACTGTTTTGCTTGGGGACGGTCATTGTCACTAACGTGATCACGTAGGCATTGCATACACAGTTCCCGATCTTGATGCTTCCGTCCGTATTTATATCAACTCCACCGATACTGGCGAAAGCATCGCGTGTGTTGAGGCTTCTTTATCAAATGGCAAGACAGTTTACCAAAAAGGGGTCGGCTGGTCAACAGCTATAATCTCCGGGTTAGGTTTAGCTGCTTCTGCTATTACTTCTGGCTTAGGACATTCAAACACCGCCGCGCATGTGGCGGCTAATGCACTCTCACTTTTCAGCTTTATGCAATCCCAGGCGATGATCGGTATGACATCTGTTCATATGCCCCCGATTGTTGAGGCATGGACCCAAAACTTCCAGTGGAGTATGGGTATCATCCATATTGGATTCCTGGAAACTATATGTACCTGGTATCAAAGATCGACCGGAGGAACACCTTCAACGACCCTTTCCGAGCTTTCGACAACGTCTGTGCAAGTGCTCAAAAAGCGAACGCTCGACGAAGCCACGGGTTTAGTCAAGAAAGCATCAGACATATTAAAGCGTTCCGGTGCTGAATCCGAGACAGCCAACACATCGAATCTTGTTGTTCGCGGTATTAAGCGAGTTGGGTTCAAGGCCGGGATTGAGGCGACTAATATTTTCTTGACTGGTCTTATCTTCTTCGTTTTCTTTGTGGCTGTGGTGATGATCCTCGTCTCACTTTTCAAGGCCGGCTGTGAGGTCCTTGCTAAGAACGGCAAGATGAAGACCGATAAGTTCCAGGATTTCCGTAACGGTTGGAAGATTGTCGCCCGCGGTATTTTGTTCCGACTTACTTTAATCGGTTTCCCTCAGATGACTGTCCTCTGTTTGTGGGAATTTACCCAGCATGACTCTGCAGCTGAAGTTGTGTTAGCTGTGATCATGTTCTTTTCTATTCTCGCCGCTCTGGGATGGGCTGCCTTCAAGGTCATCCTTTTGGCAAAACGTTCCATCACCATGCATAAAAATCCTGCATACATCCTCTACTCTGACCCTACATGTCTGAACAAATGGGGATTCTTGTATGTGCAATACCGGGCGACTGCATACTACTTTGTCATTCCAGTTCTGGGCTACATCCTTGTTAAAGGCATGTTTATTGGTCTGAGTCAAGAAGCACCGGTTGTGATGACTGTTGCCTTGGTTATTCTTGAGGCCGGTATGTTGATTGCCGTCAGTGTTCTGCGGCCATGGATGGACAAGAAGACCAACATCTATAATATCTCCATCGCTGCCGTGAACTTCCTCAACGTCATTTTCCTTCTCTTCTTCTCCGAAGTTTTCAACCAACCTGGCCTGGTAACAGGTGTCATGGGCGTTGTCTTCTTCGTGATCAATGCCGTATTCGCTCTGATTCTCTTGCTCCTGGTGCTAATCGCTTCTATCTATGCAATTGTCTCGAAGAACCCGGATATGCGGTACCAGCCTATGAGGGACGACCGTGGCTCTTTCATCAAGTCTCAGGGCCAGCTAACGACTGAGTTGGATGCCCTGGGTGCCGCTGCTCGTGGCGATGTCAAGACTGGATCCTACAAGTCTAGTCCATTTGAAGATGACAACGGTTCCTTCTCCAGCGGCAACGGAGCCAGTATCAACCGTCAAAACCTCGATGTGCACGGCCATGATCAACCGCCCAATACTCGTCAAGCCCCTGTTTCTCCAGTTGATCCTTCCTTGCCACTATTCCCCAGCGACGCTTCAGGACGACAAGAGCCTCCCAGCTACAACGCGCGCTCACCGTCACCGGTGCCGCGGGGTTACACTGCTTCCCCGCTCAACAACCCCAACGCTTATAGGGCACAGAACAACCCCAGTCCATGGCAAAGAGGAGCTGGATATGATCACTAAAGGAATACAATGAATGTTTTATCGCTTTGCTTGGGACGAATTACGGCTTAGCGCGTAAATGGAGTGGGTCTTTGCCATCTTGATTCCACTTTGCCTTGCACCAGGTGCATTTCGTGTTCTTCCCCTTTATACGTTGTTTGCTCTTTCAACCACTGTTCCTTTTCCGTATACTGTGATATACTGAAAATTCGCTTCTTTTTTTCTTTTTTACTTACTTCTATATAACCCCTTGCCCTCTTTTGCACCTTACCAGGATTTTCTTTCTTGTTATTACACGGCGTTCTAAAGCATTGGATTTGGAGATTTGGGACTTGGGTTTTGCGGTCTATGTGATCTATATATCTTAAGACAGGGGGCTGCCTTCGGCCTGAGCCGATGTCCCTGTGTATTATTTGTGATTTCATGCATGAAAGGAATCATAATGCTAGTGCCCACGTCAGTAGACGTATGGTATTTGAATTGCGAGTGATTAAGAGGTACCGAATCCGTGGACACGCCTGTACACTGCGTATAAAAATGGGCTAAACCAACCACTGTTGGTGATTCACTGAAGTAGAGAACATCCTGACATTGGACGTTACATATAACCTAAAGAAGACGTATCAATGCCCCAAGGCATTTATCCATCCCAGAACCGAACAGTCTAATAATGAACATAACCGTAATACTGTTTCTGATTGCTCTCTCCCAACTATTCAGTTCTCAGTAGACAAACGTTTTTTTCAAAGAAAAACACCCTATACCGAAGTCCGCACGCCGGAAACAGAACTCTAGTAGAAACACACCTTTAACAAAATAAGATATAAAAAGCAACAAGGCAAGGTATAGTTTAAATTTGCAGCATAAACCCCAAACATAAAACCCAATAGTTAGACATTCCCATCCATCCACGAAACACATCAACGAGGCTCGCCCAATCCCGGCGGCGGCCCGGGGAGATTCGCTGAGCCTGCACCGGGCGGGGGCGCATACCCGCCTTCTTGGCCTGGGGGACCGGTTATACCGGGGGTAGAACTGGGGCTGAAACCAGGTTGGCCGGGGACAGCACCAGGCATCGGGGGAAAGCCGGGAGCGCCGGGGCCTGGCATTTGGAAGTTCGGGGGGAAGCCGCCTGGTGGTGGGGGGAAGGGGACGTTTCCTGCGGGCATGTTGGGGAGAGGTGGGAGACTGCCTGGGGCGCCTGAGGCTGGGGGAAAGGGAGGTGGGAAAGGGAGGCCCTTTGCTCCGGGAGCTATTTGTTTTAAATCAGATGTTAGTAGATTGTTTTTCGAGTGGCTGACGGATGTTTGGTTCACGTACGAGGAGGCATGCCCGGGGCACCATTTGGTCCTCCTGGTGGGGGAAATCCGAATGGAGGAGGTGGCAGTTGGCCTGGACGTCCTGGGGTCCCATATTAGTTTTTGGTTTCTTGGGCTAGGTAGAGCGTGGAAGCGTACCGGGGAATGGGAATGGAGGGGGGAAGGCGCCTGGAGGAGCCATCGCGGGGTTCGGTACGGCCTGGCCTTCGGCGGCATACGACGAGGTGATGGAGTCGATAACAGATTGGGCCTTCTCTTGCCCGATTTCTGTGCGGGATTGGTGAGCATCTAACTTGAGTCAATGTTGATGAACAACGAAACGTACGTTGATAGTATTCCAACACGTTCCTTAGATGGTTCCTTCCTGCATTGTGCGCCTTGCGCACGCTCATCGAGTCGTGCGTGAGGTACACATCGCAATAATCACCTGCGGAGGTAGGTCATGGAGTCAGCGAAAGTTGTGGCTGGAGATGATATTATCGATATAAAGCTACATCTGCTCGAAGGCGAGCTTGAAGAACATCCCAGATATTGTGGCTTGGAGACGCAAGAACCTACAGAAGAGTGCACAGATAGTTAGCCGTAAGGTCCGTTACGCTTAGGGAGGAATTTACATATATTTTGGCATCTTGGGAATCTGAACTGGCACTGCTTTTTGAACGTTGCAGGCGAAACTTAAACTCGGCGGCGCTCAAGTGGCGCGTTGCGCGTGATTTTGGGCTTGGTCACGGATCAGATTAACTCTGTTTGTAGGTGCAGTGTAGTATGGCGGATTATATGAGGCCCTCGGGAGGTCAATCCGGCTTGACGGTCGCTCAGAAGATCGTAGACAAGAATTGTATCGAAATTGGATGTTGAAGCGGAGTTCCAATGCGCCGGAGATACAATGGCGGTATTAAATGGCAGAATATGTAGGGTCTACTGAATGCCTGAGGCATGAACTGCCACCCAATGTATAAGGCTTTATGATTTGATATTATCACAGCATCACGAGGAGGTTTCTAAAGTTGAAGATCTAGGAAGCTCAAAGCTAAGATGAATTGTACGTAGAACCAGTTAAGCTGGCAGTGACTCCTATTGTCTATTGCCTTTACTGACAGCGATGCTCACACTCCGACGAATTGTTTCCATACAACAGTAGTAGCTAGTTATTTGCTCTTTGCTTATTTACTATCTTATAATTTCAGCCTGAAGTTGCAGCTCAATATCATTCTAGTAAGGCTATGTACATCGGTTCGAACAGATGTCAAGAAATAGGGCGTTTCTACAAGCTCATCTCATACATTCCATCACCGCCACCGCCACTAAAGTGGGTAAAGAATGCCGAAAAATCCAGATTAGGGTCCTTATAGAGTCAGAAACTGTGCTATCAGAAGACGAAGCTTCTAACTTACCATAAGGTCAAAATCTAACCCAAGTGGCGACTCGGTACAAATCAAGGTCTCGATTGAGCCCTGTGGGGTGCTGACTGACTGAGACGACTGGAACGTCATATAGCAGTTCTTCACACTCTCATGGACTGCTTTGATCATTAACGGCCGGATGTCTCTTGTACCAGACTCTAATGCTTTTATTTGACAAAGTACGACTGAGAGAAAGATGTATCGCTTGAACCTCGCAATGCCTAGGGCAACAATTTGAAGCATCTGGTCGTTGATATGCTCCAGGATGCGAACCATAGGCTGTCGTTGAGTTTTGGACATCTCGGCCAGGGGGTCTGTTACGAGCTGGCCAGCTTCTGATGATCCTGCAGTTGTTTCTTTGAGTTGACTGGTTACCTCCAGGCCTAGAACAGTAATAATGTCGAGGTGGAGAGCACCGCAAAATGGACCAGTGCTCATTACCATGAGACGTGATAGGTCATCAAGGTACTGGGAAGGAAGCTGAAGGCTCTCAGCATATGATGCGATAATCATAGCCGACTCCACACAGATTTTCCGAGAAATGTAGAACCGTGGATCCTGCTGGGCTTGTAACATGTAGGGCCGGTGAAGCAGTAGGATATAGCGACGAATTTGCATGTCGAGGAACTTCCTATGTAGTTCAGTCTCGGCTGAGTATTGTGACCAGTGCAGTTGGAAGTAGGCTGTGAGATCACGGCAGGCTTTTTGTAAGTCTGTAGCAAGCTGAAGCACGGCATTATACGACTGCCCTGGATCAGAGCTGTTGATCAGTTTGGCCGCCTCTATACGGATTGGCAGAGATTGTCGCATCAATAATTGAATCGAGGACTCTGTAAACTGTTGCAATGGCTTTGGTGTAGGGAATTCCTTAGTATCTGGCCACAGATCCGCATCACTGAGGTTATGAGGCACATGTTTATCGAAGTCCCGAGGCGAAATCATTAGCGGCATTGACGATGAGTCGATAGATTCATGCACTACTAGTTCCAAGATAGTCGCCCAAAGCCTACTCCGTATCTCTGCTTGAAACGGCGCTAAGCCTGGAAAGACTTGAGGGTCTCGGTGTAATCCCATAGTCATAGCCATTCTTAACAGAGAACCTGTAGACAGCCATGGTGATGATCCGATAGTGTTTGTTTTTCGCGACACGAGAAGAAGGCAGAAAACTTGGATACCGTCCAAATTTCTCGTTGACTTCTCAGAAGGCCCTACCAGCCACGACTGAGCGGCATATATCCACGTTTGCGCCAAGTGACGTAGACGCTCCGACTCTCCTAGGATAGGGTAGAAAGTTGTGCCTATAGAGAAGATAAGACCTAGTTTGATCAAAAATGACGTTGATGTTGCATGGGGTGCTTCCCAGAATTGATAATACTCTTTCCAGAAAGAAGGGATATGGACAACGCGATATATTTGTTCGAAAGTCCGTATATAAGCACTTGCCAATTCATCACAGACCTGCCTTTCAGGAAACGTGCTTAAGAGGTCAGGAACAGGATAGTTGAGTTGCATTGTTCGCTGGCTTTTTGCAGCCTTTCGTAAGTTCCGACCTTCCTTAACCATATCTGCTATATCTGCTTTTAGGTCGACCATGCTGAGATCCATGTCTTTTGAGTCGATTTGACCGCTGGCAATCTACAGTAGATCAGCCAACGGAGTTTTCTTGAGGGTTTCTTAGATACCAACCTTCTCAGCAGTATACATCCAGTGGCTCGGTCCAAACAGCTTCGTCTTTTCTGCAGTGTTTCGCAGGCGAGGCATGGTGGCAGGAATGGTCAGATCTCCACTCACAGCACAGGATTCTCGAGTCTGAGATAGTTCGGACAATTGCTGCTCGGCTTTACGCAGGCGGTTCTCCAAGTCCTGTAGAGAACTACCGCTCGTTTCTATCCCTGTATTAGCTGTATCGCGTTGATCTACTTGAGTGGAGTGTATACCCCCCAAGCCACGAGATTGTTGTTGAGATTGACCCCGTTCAGTGGGAGTTGACGCAGGTATGTCCGGACTTCTTGAGACTGCCCGAACATCGGTCTGAGATGGTCTCGGCCGCGGCGATTCTCTATACGTGCAAGTCAAGGTTTCCCGAGCATGTCGGCAAGCTCTACAAGGCAGTTGCAGATCGCAGCGGACCTTACGCTCTCGGCATTGCTCGCAGGACTTAGCGGGACGCCGGCGTTTACGCGGCAGCGATGTTGAGGTTGTCCTCTTATGAGCAGCCATTTCAAGTTAGATATATAGGAGGGTAACGCGAGGATAAAGAACAGGACATGTAATTGTGGGAGTATGAACCTGGATGATGTTTAGACTGCTTATTCTCCGGACCCCGGGGTTTTTGCTGGAATATGCCGAAGTTCGGGCTGATACGCGCTTTATTAAATCTCCGTGGTTGCATCACGTTAGGGGCTGAATTGCATTGCCAGATCTAGTGTAGTCCAGTTGTATATACTGCCATTGATTAATCCAGGTAATTGTAGTATTTAAAAAATTTCAATCTCGTTGCTCCGATGAGTACCTATAAATATCTTTGTATAAAAGCCTTTTACCTGCATATACAGAAGAAAGAAAAGAAAACCAAAGTTTATCCAGTTAATACTCACATTACTAGCATCCACAAGAAATTGCCATCATAGAACTACGATGACTCGGGAGGGAAACCTTTGGCTCGGTATGGAGATAAATACCCCGAACTTTATATACCAATCATTGCGAATTTTTCTCGGGTTATTTATTTGGGCATATCAAAACCCTAACTTAGCGTACAAGTTCGGTTAGAATCTCGGCTGAAAGCTACAGGACTAGATTCAGCAGTTGAATGCATCGAAAGTGTGGCTCTGGCTCATGTATCAATTAAGAATGGACATAAAGACTCAAAGAACAATGGTATTAAACTAGACCGCACTCTGCACGAAGCTCTACTCAAATACTCAAACTTCTCAATTCAGCCGAAGAGAGAAGCGTCCGTGATCACTCGGAAAGGAGACATATATGTACACGTTCTTCGACCGAACCAAGATCATCGCCACTATCATGGACGATCCAACATGCTGGGTATCATGGTGATATACACAAGCATCACCAGTCTTACGCTATGGCTCGAAGGACAAAGCTAACACCATCTACGCTGTCATCTTCATAGTAGCTCTGGAGCTCGTCAAGTTTACCCTGGGTAGTCTTAGGATAGGAGCTGTCTTGACATTGGTGGGCACTAGCTTTTGTAAGCCCGCTCCATTACTGCGACAAGTAGATGTACATTTGCTAGCTCAGGTATTTCTGCGTGGTTCAGTTTTACTTTGCGTGGCTTTTCTTTCCCTCTCCAGGTTTGGTGGCCGGGAAGTTATCTGCAATGAAGGTTAGGGGAATAACGGTCGGTTAGGGCTGTGCAGATCATGGTCTTTGCTTTCCTACGGAGTACATCTCCAGCGACCCGCTCATGATGTTCTACTGAATGGGGGATTCCTCCGCCTTGACTTCTTCTCTTGGATGCCACCCTCCGTTCATGTCGTCACAGATATGATATTGCGTTATTTAACGACATGGGTACATAGACAAGCCATATCATCCTTGCGCTTGCATTGCATATACACTAGAGATTCAAATCGGGCGCCGACGGAGTCGGCAATCTAAACAATCACCACACTGCTCATAACCGAAGACGCGAGGCGAATGAGGGGATACCCCTCGTTTCTATCAAAAAAGCACTAAGTTGATCACGTCAACGAAAGCAATTACCAACACATACTTTGTGATTGACGTGATTGGCATCGTGCAGTTGGCATTTGTCAACGAGATCGAATTGCGAGACATAAGCCTGAGCAGAGATTCTCATTCGCGCATTCCGTACGCTACCATGTCTGTTTATTCCTATTCATCTCACACTTGCTGCTGTTGTCATGTTTCGGAGAGGTTAGCTTTGTTAGGCAAGATTCTGCTAAATGTAACACTCTGGTATTGATTCAGCTATATAGGTTGGGTGAGCGTTCCATAAAGTCGACAAATGGGGATGATATGTCAAGAGTTTGAGTTTTCCCTACAATATGACTTGCATATTCGGTGGTAAGTGTGCTTCATGGGCTGCTATTTTACCAGCAGAAAAGATAAAAGATAATCATATTTAAAGACGTATCGGGTGAAAGGCCCTAATGGAAGTAACGGTATCCTTCGAGAGGCAAACCGGTAGGCATCAGAATTCTCCAGAATGATGAAGAATCCTACTCGGCGTGTCGTGTAGCATCAGATTTGGAGATCCGAGCTGGGAAGTACCCGGACGTTCCAGATGATCTAGGGTTTCACGGCCATTCGGTGCAAAACATCCGAGGCAAACCGAGGGGCGAGGTAAGTAAGTGACCTCCGGGGCGTCATGTCAGGCGGCGATGAGCGAAACAAAATTCCTTGGTCAAGGGCGCCTGAATTTGGGAGTTGAACACCTGGTCCAGTACTACTCTTACTTACCTGCAAAAGACGTACGTGACAAGAGACAGAAGAGTCAAGACCCGTGGTTGATGCGATGCGTGACACTTGTGACCTGCAAGCGTGGTTGCCTGGGGCCAAAATCCGGGGAAGGATCGCAGATTCTTTTTTTTTTTTTTTTTTCCGGCAGTTCGAAATTTTTTCCTGATCAGTTTTTTTCCCCCCCGGTGGATCAGCTTCTTCCAAAAGAGTCCGGGTATTCTCACCGGTTCGACCGGGTCGGTGGATTAAACCAGTCAGCGTTTTGTGACAGTGGGGCTTTGGATGGAGAATGGAAAAAATTTTCAAGGGCGTGTCAGTGGATGAGGCATTTCTGGGTCAGCGTCATTTTTCTCTGACAAAGGTCTCAAAGTCCAGCCCTCAACAGTCTGGGGAAGCTGCCTGCTTTCGGTTTAGCCTGGCATATCCGTGGATCCTCTCAATTCCAGTCGCATCTCGTTACATGATGATATTCATGCTCACCGTGCGGGGGTGGTTTCATGCGATGATGTGATAATGCGGGAGTGTCTCCGATCTGGAGTCTGGACTGGAGACTAGATACCTATGGGTTATGTATATTGTACATAGTATTTACTCCGTACAGTGAGTGATTTATTGAGAGGTAGATCGGTGTTTCTTGAGATCAGCCCCATGCCAAGAAGGAACAGCGAGAGCATGGCTGCCATGCCATCGTAACAATAGTAACAATACTAGTACTAGTAGTACGTAGTAGTAGTAGTAGTAGTAGTCCGTTAGCCCTAACTGGAGATCACAGACCGTTTCGTTTCCCCTGAGCATCACTTTGAAGTTTGAGGCATTTCTGTTGCGGATATTGCCGCCCTTCCTTCCGGAGACAGGAACTGACGAGAGAATGACAGGGATGGTTCCATTCTTTCTGTATAATCTAGAAGCATCTGTTTTGCCTGGAATGTAGTATGAGAAGCTGGAGAGTTTAGATGGCAAGGGCAAAATACAGAAGAATCATATTAAAATTTGCTATGATGCAATCATGCTGCCGGTTCCCTTTTGCGGGGAAGTTCTTTCCTTGTCTAGAAGGAGGCATGAGAGTCCCAATAAATCAAAGTAATAATAATAATTAGGGTTGTATAGTCTCCTCTTCCCTGTCTCATTAGGAGGGAAATCAACTTCCCCAATGTACAGGGTACGACTATGACCGGTAGTTCCCTATAGTCTTCGGCATCGTTTAGTAGCATAGAACTCATCTAGAATCTCCCAAGTGACACAAAATCCCGTCCTGACCGCAAAATTCAGGGCTGAACCAAGAGGACACAGAGAGTCTCACATACTGTAAGGATCAACTTTCGCAATTGAAGGCCAACAAAAGGTGACGACTCGTGACCGTCGAGTCAGCAATTTTCATTACCCCCAGAAAACTCCCATGTGAGCCGCCACCGCCCCTTATTGGCCGCCAAGCCAGTTTCTATTACGTTTCGCCACGGCTTAGGACCCATGTCAGATGATCAGAAAGGACCATAAAGCGGCAGCGTGGATCAAGCGACTGTGGAACCCTTTCCCTCCAATAGATCGCTCGGAATGCCCCCAATGGACAACGTGACTGGATCAGACAGCCGCCTGGTTCTGTCGCTGCTTTAAACCAACTGTCAAAATCATGGCGCCGTACCGCGCGCATAACTCGTGCCGGATTGTGGTTGGTCAGTAGTCAGCTTACCTAAGATGGAGAAAGGAAAGAATTTTTCTATTTTTCTATTTAATTTTTTATTTTTATAATTTTTTTAATTGCTCATCCCATGATTCCCAAAATCATAACTTCGGTCAATATGGAGTACAACAAATGGGCTCCACAATTCCAACCCACCGCGCAGCGACTGCGTGTGACCCTTGGATCCAAAGTGTCTGTGCCTGGAAAGAGTCACGGCAGCCAATGGTGCAATCATAGGCGTTCGTCACGGCACAACAGGGGAATTGCGAGCTTTTCTTGGCCTCTTTCCCTGGTAACACTGGGGGTCATACTTCCTGACTATATAAAAACCTTCCCCGCCGCAATGTCTGGTACCAGTCTATAGTACTAGTCCCATCAGCTAAAGAGAAGAGAAAAAAAAAAAGAAGAAAAAGAAAAAAGAAAACAGTTTTTCTCAATCTATTTCTCACTTCTTTTCTTCTCGTGAATTCATCTCGACTTCCTAATTGCACCATCTTCAATTGTACCTTGTACTGTTGCATTCCGGTCCATCGTTTGCTATACAACTATATCCAGCGACCCGCTTGATATCCGCCATCATTGAGTCATCGAGCTTAGATCATTATTCAGATATATACCACACACAGTCATACAGCAATTATGCCTGCATCAGTGAATTACCGGGTCATTGAGCCCCATCCTTCCGTCTCACGCCCAGCTCTCCATACAGCTCGCGGCGGCGCTGGCAACATCATCAGCCTGAAGAACACCAAGACCACTCCTTCACAGACGGCCACCGGTCCAGCTTCCTTGACACGTCTGGACTCTCACGTCCCCGCCGTCTACAAGTCCGGCCGTGGCGGCGCAGGAAATGTCCACAGCAGCAGTGAGCGCGCCATCTTCAGCTTCGACGAAGAACTCGAACGGGACCTCCGTCGCGCCGCTCCAGTTTACCACGTCGGCCGTGGTGGTGCCGGAAATATGGTCTACAGCGACAACGGGAGCATCCTGAGCCGCAAGTTCTCCATCAGCAGCAATGCCACGTCAAGTAGCACGGGTTCGACCAGCTCCACTCGGGAGAAGGCCCTGCGCGGCTTAGAGAAGGGCTGGGGCAAGTTGAGAGGAATGGCATAGAGGCGATTTGCAAGACACATCCGCATACAGCTTACCGTCCTTTGGTTCGAGCGTTCTCGCATTCGCATTTCGACCATGAAACTCACGACTTACGACCAACCCAAAAAAAAGTTTTTGTTTTCTACATCTCTTCAATCTCCTCTTCCAACTTCATTTGCGATTCTCGAAACCTCCTACTTCAACATCCCTTTTTAATCTCACCAATTCGCTTGCTCCACGAAGAAGCATATCTGTTTAACTTGCTACTGTTCGCTTGCGCCATTTCTCGACTCCCATGTCGATATTGATACCCCCTCCAATTGCCAACCGGCACTTTACTTTCTTGACTGCCTGTTCAGGGTTCAATTAAACCTTGTTTCAACACATCTTCACTCTCCATGTCTTCATTATCTATATGTACGCCCGGTTCTGGAATCGGCAACAGGGCTTTTTATGACCTTTCCCTTATATACTATATTTCCGAACTGGAAACCGCAGTTTTAGTCCCTGCATAAAATGAACAGGAACAAGAAAGTTCGAACACACAATTTTATCTCCTTACCTTTTCTTCTAGATGTGTAGAGGTATACCTTGTGAACTGTATGTTTCAGACTGTACCCCTGGTATGTGTGCACTGTGTACCCCTGAGCCATCCATGTGGTATGACGATATTCAATCCACACACACACACACCCCTTACTGCGGGGGTTTAGAACTGGGTATAGTTACTCAAGTAATATGTATGCACTATGCACTCTCGTGTCTTGGTATTATTCTTGGATGTTTGGCCACCTGATCTAAGAACACTTACAATGTATGCAGTATTTGAATAAAGTATACATAGCTCTGCATATGGACAATATTACTATATCAAGTCATTTCTGACCTATTGAGTATGTGTTATAGAAACGAAGAAGCCGCGGTACTGGGCAATTGGACCTAAAGGGTGGGTATAGTAGTGCCTTGTAGGTGTTGTGTTCAGGGGTGAGGGGTGGGGGGGAGAGGTTTGGCTTGTTAGACTGGGGGGGTTTTTCATAATTTGTTATGTGCTTCATTTTATGTACTGGTGGTTATATACTATAGTCTTATGGTTGAATGGCCTATTATTGTGTGGGTAGATATGATGTCGTAGTAGTTAGTGCTTGAGTTGTATACGTGTGGATTATACGCTCTTCTGAACAACGTCGTTTAGTACCTCTTAATCTAGTAATGAGTCAAACAGGCACTAATATACTGTTTGCAAACTTGGACTTGTCCATATATAATGTACTTATGCCGATCAAGACTGCAATTCATAAAGATTCATTTATCTATCCCAATATTTACACAGCTTAATTCAATTCCAACCACCCACCATCATATAAGAGGGGGGGGGGGGGGGGGGGTCAAACATAACAATTAGACAAGGCGCAGAGAAGAGAAACACACGAGTCGATTCATCCGTGGTCATGATAGCCGGCAAGAAAAGTGATGGATGATCGAGCATGTCTGCTAGGACATGGGGTGTGTGTGCATGAGTTGGTGGGTGAAAAAATAGAGATGATACGGAGGTATGGCAGCATCTGCCATGAGTATATCACAGGGGGAGGTGCTATGGTGAGAAAAAAGAGGGGTATCAAAAGCTGCTGCTCATCTGCGGACAACAGCAGCTGACGGTTCTATCGAGGGTTCGTGACTTCTCAGTAACATCACTTAATGTGCGTTTAGCTTGGGTCTGTCACTGTGTCGCTGTTCGCGAACAGTGGATGACTAGCGTCACTTGTGCTGTCTTGCGTTCAAAGGGTTGAATGCAGCATTAGGCGAATTTCCGGTGGATGATCTCCGGGTCTTCGTGCCATTCATCTGCGCTGACCCACATCTAGAGATTTTTGGTGTTAGTATTAGAGAAAGGTCGTTGAGCTTATACTATTGGAAGTGACAGCGGGCTTACCTTGCGGAACGTGCTCAGACCAGCCAGGATTCCTCCACCGATCCAGGTTGTATATTTCCGTTCGGCTGGCGCAGAGATACGGATCTTCATGTCTTCCACAGCCAATCGCTTGATCTCGCGCATCAGTCGGTCCGGGAAGTTCTTGCATAGCGTCGAGCCTCCCGACAGGACGATATTCAGATATAGATCTTTGCGCAGGTCCAGGTCTGTGCGGGTAATCGCATCCTGGACGATCTGATGAACACCAGGATACTCTAGGCCGATCAGTTCGGGGTCGAAAAGGATCTCAGGAGCGCGGTAGCGTTCTTGACCAATCTAACTGGACGTTAAAACCACCCGAAGCAATCGTAGATGTGGAGACAAACCTTGATCTTATGCCCATCAGGCAACCTGTAATCCACGGCCTTAGTTTCCGATTTATGATAACTGTTCATCCACTCCTTCTCTTCACGCTTCGGATCCAGCGAAACATAGCACACTTCCTCCTTGATCTTCCGGACCACCTCCTTCTCAGCACTCGTATACAGCACATGTCCATTCTTCCGGAGCAACAACTGCAACTGTTCCGTAACATCTCGTCCCGCGACATCAATCCGCCGTATACTGTTCGGGATCGCAAAACCCTCATACACCGGCACCGCGTGGGAAACACCATCCCCTGAATCCAAGACCACACCGGTCGTCCGGCCGGACGCGTACAGCGACAGTACGGCCTGAATAGACGTATAAAGAGCCGGCACATTGAACGTCTCGAACATAATCTGGGCCGCCGTATCGCGGTTCTTGCGGGGATTGAGCGGTGGTTCAGTTAGAAGGACGGGGTGTTCTTCGGGCAGCGTTTTCAGCTCGTTCTCATAGACGTAGTGCCAGATTTTCTCCATGTCGTCCCAGTCCGTCACGATGCCGTGTTCCAGTGGGTACCGAATCTTCAAGAGGCCGCGCAACTCCTGTGCTCGCGATCCGATGAAGACATCTCCTTCTAGACCGCCGGCCATCACCCGCGGGTGTTTTGGCCGACCGACGAACGACGGGAAGAAACATGAGGGGACTTCCTCTCCTGCAAAACCGGCACGGATTGTCCCGCTGCCATTGTCAATGACAATGGGGGCGTTATGGAGGGTGGCCTCGGCCATTGCGAGAGCGAGGGGTGTGATTCGGGGGGTAAGTTGCGGACGATTAAAGAGACGGTGTTTGGGTGAAGCGCGATTGTTGTCAGAAGGCCCCACGGCCGGGGAGGTTGTGCCACGTAGGTCCTAGGGTGGAGGAATTGTTTCCGACAACCTGTAATTATTTGGAGCTCTTGGTGTCGAGAAACTCGGGAGAGATTGAGGGAGGGAAGTGTGCACACAGGGGGATGTTCCTGGCCGCAACTTTCGCGTACATCTGGGGTCTCGCATGTTTCCCGTGCCCGTCAACAATCAGTGGAGCTTGGGCCACGTCGGACTACAACTATAACGATCAATCGCTACCACAAAAATATATCTATGATTCGTTCAATTCCTTGTTCTCGGTATTAAGGTCGTCTTTTCAATTGATTTTATGCTTGTGGAAATTATAAAGCTGACATCTGCGCAGCATATAAGACCTGTAAAGCAACACTTCCAGCAGCTAAGCCTGCTCGAACCGATCGTATACTTCGTTGAGGGGCCCACAGGTACGAGTATATAAGCTTCAAAAATACACCAGTAGGTTCAGAGACAATGCCTTCACAGCAGAGGTACCCCAGTGGGGGATGAATTTAATCCAAGAAGCCTAATTCATCCGACATCACTTGCTCCAGCGTGCGATGACGTTTCTGATTTGCTCCATTGACAGGCGGCCAAGCCAGCATGCGAGCTCGTAGTGTCTCTGCGCGCCCTACAGCAACAGACACCTCCCTAGGAAAAGAGATCAGCGTAATCAACGGGGAAATTCACAGGATACCATACTGATGTCCGCTAGCAATGACATATCCTTGCTTCTGCAACTCACGGGCCAGTTCCACTTGGTGGTTATCCTTCAAGGTCGTATTGGGAACAACCACAAGTGGCACTCCTAATCGTAGTGCGCCCAGGATACTGCCCGATCCTTCAAATCGAGATCAGTCTCTCACAATCTTATCCGTGGACGAGACCGCAATAATTACCTGCATGACTAATAATCAACCCCCCATTTCGACCTTCGTCAGGACTTGCTTGAGCAAGCCTCATCTCCCTGTCTAGCCCTGCATGATTGAAATCGAAACCGTCGATCTCGATACCGTACCGACTCGGGCTCCCAGGGGGGTATTTGCTGAGAAGCTCTTCAAAGAGAGCCTGGCTGTCCTTCCCGTATTGGACTAGGAGATGCGTATAGTTGGCTTCATGCAAAGCAGCTAGAAATATATCGTCCAATATGGCCTTCAGAAGTAAATGAAAAGAAGCCGTGGCTCCCACCGTGACGAAGCATAGCTTCATAGGGTGGTTCGCGCCTTGCGAAGCCATGGCTGGTGCCTTTAGGTTTCAAGGACCTGTCTCTGGCAAAAAGTATTGCACGACAATCTGCCTGGGTCGGAGAAGCATGTTAATCTTTCTCGACCGGACCAGTTCAACTCTGGTCCGAGTATTGCATCAGCGCAACTGTATTGATAATGCTCGTAAGGCGGTGGATGACCACCCCACCCGATTGGGCTTAGTGCCTCCGTGCGAACTTCAATCCGCAGAAAAACATCGCCGAGTCCTGTTCAAGCAAACCCCAGCCTAACACCCCCCATCGCAATGGCCTCAGCAGCAAGATACCTGGGCCGGTCGGCCTTGTCCATGGCCCGGAGAGGCCCAATTGCGATCCCATACCGCTCATTCTCCGCTACTACGCCCAGTTTCGTGTCAGAAGATCCGCCAGTGCCGCCTGCTCCCCGAGAACCCCGTCCGGAGGATCTGCCTGCTATGGCCGAGTACTCCCCCGATCTACTTTCCAAGGAGGAGCGATCGATGTATGACATGCTGGCACCCGAAGAACGGGAGCAATTCGACGCTGAGAACCGCCGGATTGTGGAGGAGTTCAATGACCCGCAGAAGCGAGCGGCTGCGTTTGCGGAGCTCGAGAAGAGCGTGAACCAGATCGAGAAGGAATATCCCATGCGGTTTGACGATGTGCGGGAGAAGCGACTTGGATTCTGGGGTGACGAGGAAGACGATGAATTCGGCCTTGTCGAGGATGCTGATGAGGAGTTCAACGACGACGATATCACGTCCATGGCCCATGCAGAACTCGAAGTACACCGCGAGATCAGAGAATACGCTAGAATTGCCGCCTGGGATATGCCATTGCTGAGCCGTAAGTGCTTTGTCCCAGTCCGTTCCCCATCTCTGCTAATCCCTCGGTAGATCTTGCCAAGCCGTTCACCCTCCCTCCCCAATCCCACATTCTCCGCTTCCGCTACACCACATACATGGGCGAGTCGCACCCCGCCGAGAACAAGGTTGTCGTCGAGCTGAGCTCCCAGGATTTAACCCCCAAGCATCTCTCCGAGGCACAGCGCCAGACGTTCCTGAAACTCGTTGGACCGCGGTACAACCCCGACACCGACATTGTACGGATGTCCTGCGAGAAGTTTACCACTCGTGCTCAGAACAAGCGTTATCTGGCCGATATAGTAAACTCATTGATTAAGGAGGCGAAGGAAGGAGACGCATTCGCCGACATTCCCCTTGACCTCCGCCACCACAAGCCGAAGACCAAGCTCCGGTTCCCAGACTCCTGGAAGTTGACCCCTGAGCGCAAGAAACAGATCGAAGCTCGCCGCGCTGAGAGACTACGCCTAGAGAAGGAAAGAGCAGGCATCGTGGATGGCAAGGCAGTCATCGCCGACGCGGCCCGGGTTTTGCCAGCATTGAACCCTGCCTTGAGGGCCAAGGCAACTGAAGAGCGAGAGAAGGTTGCTGTTCGGGTCACTGGTAAAGCACAGAAGAAGAGACTACGCTGAATATGAGCAACGTACGAATGCGGGGTGTACAATTTATCTGTCTGTTGGTCTGGGTGCTTTTTCAACCTTAAAATTATCAGGAGCGGCGCAATCGCAATGTCATATTAGACTTATCCAATGTATTATACTATTCATCTTCATACATACACCTTATTACCCCTTTCAATCCTAGTCTCAAAAGGGCCATGACACCAATCCTGGGCAACTCTTCATGTGTAATGTAGAGAAACATTCATGTAAATCCATTTCTGTACCTATCCCTAGGGTCCTATCTTTTTGTTTGTTTGTTTTCTGGATCAGTGTATGCATGTTATAGTCGCAACCCCCCTATAATACACCGAAACACGAGCTTGTTTAAATGGGAAAAAGGAAGAACAGAAAAAGAAAAGAAGCTATCCACAGGTACTTCACAGAAACCGATATCTCGAAGAAACGCAAAAGGTTCACATTGCGCAGTTGTTGTATCCTGATCGTCATATCGTGCTATACCCCCTCGAGGATATACAACGATGAATCCATCCAACAAAAGCGAAAGAAGACACACGAAAACAAGAAAGGGTTGAGTCCGGCGTGAACGCAAGGTATCCTAGCATGGTTTGGTACTGCAAACTACCCACCCATTCATAAATGACATCCTGTCCGGCAGAAAGGTATATTTAATTGAACTAGATGTTAGTCGATTTATCATATGGTCAAGCTTCCCAAATGCTTCGTATCCATATGGTCGAAGCCATAAATAGAAGGAAAGGGAAAAAAAAAAAAAAGGTTTGCTCCACCACGAGATTCAGTGGGTGATCGTGGATGATCGTACATGGAGGATGGAGGACAAGAGGAATCTTTTCGCCGTGTGTGGCATTTCCTGCAGATGTCCTGATACTTCGGCTTAGAATTCATAATTGACTGGGGATCCGGTCGATCTGTTGACTCGTTTGGTGCCGATGGGTGCCTGCATCGTTCTGGGATCTTTTCCCTTGAACTGATTGCGACGAGTCCGAGGACTGGATCCAGAGGAGAACGAGGCTCCAGAATGAGTCGATGGAGAGGCGCCCCGAGTCGGAGGCTCTGAGGACGCGGCGCCCACATGAGAAGGGTCAGGGATGGGGCTCGCTAGCAGAGAGATGGGAGTATCCTTGGAGATGACCGAAACCGCACCGGGGGACGCAGTCGCATGACTATGATAGGTACCGCAGGAGTCAACCTCTCTCTTTTCCATGCTCATATCGTGCATAATCATTTGGGACAAGGGCTGGTAGAGACGACGCGACTTTTGGCTTTTCTTGGAGCGTGGCTGGGTCGGGGCGCCTTCAAAGGAGGTTGACGGATAGTCGGCACTCGTGGCTATAGGGGCTGGCATAAGCGAGTGAAGATTGCGAACAAATTCCTCGTGTTGAACCCTATCAACGTTCTCGATGGCGGCATGGTCGGTAGGACTAGGGTAAGGCAGATCACTCATACCTCCTCCCATATGATCCAGGGTCGGATATTCTGGAAGGGGATCAAAAGTCAGGAGATCTATCCTTCTGGGTACTGAATTAACCGGGCCCGGGATATGCTTGTGTACATGCTTAGGGTTGGTCGAGGTTTTGGGTGAGCTCGCAGCTGGATAAGCATGTCGAGATGGTCCAGTAGCGCCTGTGGCATGTTGCTGAGAAGAAAGATAGTGAGCAGCCTTCTGCTTAGAAGCCTTTTCGATATCTGAGGATTCGATCGCGCCATTTATCTCCAGGCGGGAAGGATACTGGATCGACTTCATAGCACCACGCTCCACAGCATCATCCTTCCAGTGTTGAGCATGACTAGCGTGAGAACGTGGATGACCATGTCCATTGGGCAGGAGGCTGGGAATGCCGTATTTTTCGCGGTACCAACGAGGAATATCCCGAAGGCCAAGTTTTTCCAAGGTGGGGAGGTCATTAGGCATCTCGTGCTTATAGAGACAACCTGAAGGTTATTAGCTGATTGTATACCTTTTATAAACTGCGCTTCTTTCTATGTGCCTTTACCTTGCTGCTGATAATCGCATTCCCCATGGCGGATCCAGTATGAACAAAATTCTTTCTTTGAGTTGTAATGAGCGCCCTAGTAGGACATTAACTGGTGCTCTATCTTTACTGGCGCAAGCCCTCGTCAGGTTCCATGTTGGGTAGCACCTACCTGCCTCGAACTTCCGCTACCACCTGTGCAACCACTGCTGCTAGGAACCAACCAACTGCTGGTCGAGGCGTTGGACATGAACCAGTTCTGGGAAATACCTTGCTGAAGGAGGGCGTTCACGGCCAGGCGCTGGTTTGCCGGAACATTTTCATCAGAGACAAGTCTCATGAGGGAGGCCTGCAGGTCAAAGTCACGGGAACGAGGGCCAGAAGAAGCGCGGGTCGACGCTGGCACCAGGCCATCGATGATGTAGGTTTGCGCCCTTGGGCTCACGGTGCCTAAGCTAGTCATGCCCTGGGTCTCGTTGGCGGACAGTGTACGAGGGACTCCACGGATCGATATATGGGAGGGGAGCTCATCGACAGCAATGAGGGGGGTGATAGTGCCGTTTGGACGGGCACAGAAGAACTGAGGGCGAAGTGGAGAGGACATGATGGGCTCGTTTAGGCCTCGAATCAGCTCAAATCCTGTTGTAATGCTGTTGTGGACGTTAGATATAAGAGAGCGATGAGATAAAAGTTCTATGGCGCGATGTTGGGAGTATACCGTCATGAAAGGGAATGAGGTGAGAAATGAGTTGAGACTAAATAGGTGAACAAGAGGAACAGAATTTTTACAAGGAGCGGAAAAGAACAAAAACGAGAAAGAGGAACAGAAAGGGAAATTCGTGATTCAGTGAATCTCCAGATGATGTCGTCGTGCGCGAAAGACTTGTTGCCATTCACTGGTTGACAGAGCACCGACCCAAGGGATCTCCAGAACCAAATAGCACTAAAGGACAAGAGAGGAAAATGGAAATAAATCTAAGGAGCTGCTATATATGAGCATAATAACTATCTGGAAGAGAGAAAGCAATGCAAAGACATGAATGAGAGTAGGGAAAAACAATACAAGAATGGAATCTAAAGAGCCTCCGAGTATAACAAAGCAAGAAAGCAGATAATGGCGAAAAAGAAATTCACACACAAAGTTTCAAAAAGGCAAAGAACAAAAGAGGAAACGCCCTAAATGTATAAGAAAAGTGGACTAGAGCCCAATGCCGCCAGTGTTTGTCCGATAATGTTGGTCAGTACAACCATCTGCTCGGATGGCTGCAGCTTCTGAGGCGCAACTTCTCATTGCTCGTTTCCCGCGTCTTGCAGGAAACACCCTGCAGTGTTTTCGGGGATGCTTAATCTCCTGCTGATCTTGCTCTTTCTATTCCTTCTTTTCTTTCCTTTAAATTCGCCACTTCTTTGGTTTTTTTCCCCTTATCTTCAGGAAAAGTTCACTGGAACAATATAACTTCAAGTCTTCTAGAGCAGCTCTCGGACCGGTCATTGAAAGTCACGTCGAGGGCAAGCACATATTCCGGCACTTGTGCTAATCCACCATTCTCACTGTTTCATCCGTATTCCAAATACTGACCCCTATACAGACCGTGTCCCCGGAATCGGTGGTGCGTGGCATCGTGGAATACGACGAGCGTATACACCCTCCAAACGACATACACCATGTGCCGGCACCGATTTGACGAGGGTGAGCGAAGACAAACGAACTGTGTCTTCCTTTAATTTTGTGAGTAGGAGTGGTGTGGTTTTCGTCCACATGGACGCATAGTTGACAGGTTGAAGACTTCGGGGGTCAACCAATAATTGAGCAGCAACGACATGTGACCACCATCCCCCAAAACTACCATCGAAATCGGTCCTTTGGACCTTTAATTCTAGCAGTAAGTCGATTCGTGCAACAGTCGTTCCCGAAGGTGTGTGATATTACTATGTATTGTACATCTCTCGCCATTCCAACATGGCGACGATCATTCTCTTCCCCCAAGTGTAATATAAGCGCCAGAATGAACCTGAAAAATCGCTAAGGACAGAGAAGAAAAGAAAACAAAATAAAGACCAGGAGGTAAGCAAGATCGGTCAGAAAATGTGCGTTCCACCTATTTACGGACAAAAGCCCCATCCCATGTTCATCCCATCTCGCTATTCGTCATTACGTACGTACTCGAGGCATAAAGCCTTGCTTCTTTACTCTCAGAACCTCTGGTTGTAGGACTGAAGGAACCTGAGATCCGTCCCAGACTGTGTCGCCGGTTTAGCAAGCCGTACATTCTCTGTCAAGTTGGCTACTGGCGGCTTTGTGGCGGTGGTGTTAACAGCGGTGGGAGTCGCACCACCAGGTGTACCATGGCTTGCTGTGAGACTACCTGGAGCCTTACTGGCCTGCCTTCTTTTACGCTGTGCAAGGTCACCGCGAATACCGGTCAAATATTTCTTTGCTTGAAGGACGAGGTCGGGGTCCTCGGTACTTTGCTTCAGCGCGTCCAGCATTCTGGCCACTTGAGTGTCTGATTGTAAATGAGGACAGGTGCGGGAGATCCCAAAATGCGCAAGGCCACAGAGGCCGCAATGCTCCACGCCGGCTAGTTTCAAACGACAGGAGCCGACCGGGTGATTCTGATTGCAGGCGAAGCACGAGGGCCGGGTCTCCGTGGGGCCGTCCATGCCTGCCGCGCTCATCGAGAGGTCGTGGTCGGTTATGGGATTGACTCGTTCGAATGCGCGTACTTTCGTTTTCTTCGCCGGACGTTCTTCAGCCTCTAGCTCGGGGAAAGAGTCAGACTCAGATTCCACGACATCTTCGCCCTTGAACTCGGTGTCGCTTTCAGCATCTCGTTTACGAGGCGTTTTCGTAGGGGATAGTCCCGTAGTAACAGTATTTGAATAGTCAACTGTCACCCGCTTTCTCTTTCCACGTCCAAAGGTTTCGGCTTTTCTGGCTTCTTCAGCTGCCGCCTCTTCTCGCTCCTTGAGGATCTTCTCCCAGATAGCACTGTTATCTGATGTAGGATCCTCTGTGTCCTGTAATTCACTTAAATTCTGGTTTTCGTTCGCCCAGACCCGAGCGAAGCTAAACTGGGATTCAGGGGCGTCCTCATTGGGAAACGAAGCCTGTTCAGCTTGACTGCGGTCAAGAAGCTTATCGACAGACGCAGAATCATATCGTATATCCCCTGAATCATCGTCTTCAAATAACGCCTGAGCTCCGTGTCGAAGGATAGACTCCAGGTCCTGCCCGTCGTCTTCTTCTGAGACCATTCGGTCAATCAGTACATGATCTAGTACCATCTTCTTCTTACCAATCTGCATGATCTTCTCTTCAGCGCTACCCCGGGTCATCAGTTGGAACACAAGCACCTTGTTCTTTTGTCCAATGCGATGAGCACGCGACAATGCTTGCATGTCCTGGTGAGGGTTGAAATCAGGATCCATGATTATGACGGTATCTGCAGTGGCAAGATTGATGCCCACACCTCCAGATCTGGTGGAAAGCAAAAATGCGAAGTATGGCGAGTCTTCAGCATTGTACTGATCAATCATTTTCTGCTTCTCCAAAGATGACATCCTTCCATCAAGGCGGCGATGCAAAAGCCCCAACCCATCAAGAAAATCCTCAACTATATCCAAGTTGTCAAGAAATTGACTGAAGATCAAAACTCTATGACCGCGCTCTTTGAGCTTCGGCAGCATTAGTTGTAAGAGCTGGAGCTTTCCAGCCGCCTCTACTAGATGCTTGTGAGATGTAGCAGCATTGTTTGTCCGCTCTTCAATAGCTGTACTATAGATAAATGGATGGCACAAGCATTTTCGAAGCTGCATCAGGATATTGTTCAGGTTTTGGCGTTCGGCTTGTTTGGGACCCTGGTTGTCATTCTTTCGCTGGAAGATGGCCTTGATCAACTGTGGGTTCTTCGCCAGAATCGACTTATACAACTTCTTCTGGACCACGGACATAGATACTGGAACAATGATCTGGACCACCGGTGGAAGAAAAGTGAGCACCTGGGCTTTTGTCCGGCGTAGGAAAAATGGTCGGATCATGTTGTGAAGCTCAGGAATATTCTCTTTTGATAGTATTCCATACTCGTTCTCCAGTTCCTCTGCATTCTTCGTTGGGTCGCAGAATTGGAGAAGATTGAACAACTCCCTGGTGTTGTTTTGCAGAGGGGTGCCCGTCAATAGAAGTTTGAAAGGGAAGTGAATCCGAGACAGTGACTCATATAACTGACTTTTGTCATTTTTCAAACGTTGGCCTTCATCGACGACCAGGCCAGCCCAGGGTACTTTGGCGAGGACTCTTCGGGAGGCATCATCGGCCATGGTTTCATAGGAAGTCACAACTACATGGCACCTTAGGTCATGGCTGCCCTCATTAAACATCTCATACTTCTGCGCTAGTTGACGCGAGAACGAGGATCCGTAGTATGTGACCACCCGAATAGAGGGAACCCATGCCTTTATTTCCTTCCGCCAGTTTGGACATGTCGAGTTGGGTACTACAACAAGGAATGGCCAGCATTTATGATACTGTATCAAAGTTGCAAACAGGCCAATCACTTGGATGGTCTTCCCTAGACCCATTTCATCAGCAAGAATCGCGTTCTGCTGTTTGAACCACATGTAATAAAGCCAATTCAAACCATCTTTTTGATAGTCCATCAGTTGCCCCCCTGTCATAGTTTCAGGTTGTGTTTCTTTGACTATACTTTTCTTGAAGTTTTGCTTTCTGACCTGATCCAGGTGCTTTCTGAGAGATTGTTGGTTTGGCATATAAGTGTAATCACGTTTTACCCAGTCCTCGTATGCAGTTTTGAAATCGGCCCACCTCTCAGCATTATTACGGTCAGGTGGCGAGTCCCATACTGCGTCCTCATATGTTAGGCCCTTGAACTTTATGTAGGCTTTAGACACCTTATCAACCCGTGATATATCTTTTTCAATAGATCGATCCTCCGAGCTGTCGTCATTGTCGTTATCTGCGTACTGGACATCGAAAAGAATGTCCGCTCGAAGGAAGTCCTCCGGTATTGCCTCTTCAGTTGTCATATCTGGGTTCGAGTTTTTGTTTGATCTGAAAAAAGCTCGTCGCATGGCCGGACTTACAACGCTCCAAGCCCAGCTGCCAGGCACCCAGGTAGTATGATTATAAGACATTGTTTTCCATTTTATTAGGTACTCTTTGTCGACCTCCTCCATGATATTCGCGCTGTACCCAGCAACGTATGTCTTAAGGTCCGTTGGCCGCCAGGCAACTATTGCACCGATCTCTCCACGGGCTGAAGAGCAGTCTCCGCAACGACCTGTCGTTTCATGATCCGCAGAGACATGGTCAAAATGGAACGCTCTATGACATTCAGTACAGCGAAAGAGTAAGTTGGCTATATTATTCAAACGAGCCATATCCACAAGGGTAATAGGATCTTTGCCATCATTTTCCTGCCGAAGCTGCTGCTCCTGCTTTGGCGTCAAGCGCTCCCGAAGTGGTTTAGACATATTCCCTTTCTTAGCACATGCGGTACAGCGGCCTTGGTGTGGGCAGACCTGGTCTTTCGTATGGGCAACACCTAGGCAACGACGACACTGAAGAACAAACAAGTCATCCGAAACCTTAGTTACAAGGTGTTCGCGTGTAGCTCTAGGACCCAGGCAAGCTTGGTGATAAGCGCTTGTACATCCCTGGCAAAAGACAAGAGGGCCTTTCGCATAGTCATCTCCACTACGGTAGCAAACTGCGCACATTTCGTTATGAATACTTCGGAATGGGTCATCAGATGGGATCTTGCGAAATAATTCTTTTGCTCCGAAGAACTTCTGTGTCTTGGCAACATCTTCAAACTCAGAAATGTCCTCTTCATACCTCTCCCTGAGATTTTTTCGAAGTGTCTTCCGCTGCCGGGTTGAACACCGCGAGCCTGTAGGTCTTGGGGCATAGTCGCTTTCCTTATCTGTGCCTCCTAAACGTGTCTTGACTTGTTTGCGCCTCCTTAAACGTCTTTTCCTGGTAGTTGTCGTAGCCGATATGATAACATCATCACTCGAAGAAGATCTAGATCGAGATTCCTCGTCCTCACTGCTCATACGGCTAAAGAAATCTGTGAACTGAGTATTTCCAGCCCGAGTAGAGCGTCGCCTTGCCCCTGACTCAGATGAAGTATATCCCTCTTCATTGGACGAGGAAGCCATGCTGGGCGGGGACTGTAATGAGCTTCCGTAGACTTGTTCTGTATTTTGGAAACGTGTGAGGGCTTCGGGTCCGTTGCTTAGCCTCTCAAGTCGAGAAGACGACATCTATATGGAAGCAGATCCGAGTAAGATAGAGGTTAAGAAAAGGTTGTGTGAGAGGAACATAGGACTTACCGTTTCAGTTTCTCCACTGCGCAATTTGACTAGATAGGAAGGCTCTTTCGTAGTCTCTATTGCCTCACTTATAACACAACGGACATCAAAATGTCCGGGGAGGAAGTCATATTCATCACTATTAGAAATTGTCGGAGTCTCTACCGCCAGCTGTGATTTGGAAGGTCCTGGTGAGCCTTCAGGTATTGGTGAATGAGACTTGCGCTGAAATTGCGACAGGAGGTCTGCGACAAGATCCTCGTTCAAGTGAGATGCAATTTCTTCATCCATCTTGGGTGTTTCGTATCTTGTGGTACTCTCATACAAATTCACGATAGCAGGGACACTGATAAGGGAGAGGAAGGGTGCTTTAAATTTGAGGTCGCTCGCAATTGAAAAATATATGACAGAACACCAATGAGAAATTTACAAGAAAAGAGCGGACTGTGGAATCTTCTTCATTAGGAAGCAAAAATGAATGCGTGAATCAATCGCCAATAGCACAACTGTTCAACAAAGGATCCATCAAATTTCCCAACTGCGTAATATTGCATCTAAACGCGACGCGATCCCTCGGATCAATGATGATCCGCTTATCTTATCGGACCTTCAGCAAGCTCCCGTGGGAAAAAAAAAAAGAAAACATCAGCTTTGCGAAGTTAGATCCTGCATTCGACGGCGATAGCTTTACATACGGAGTCCTATTATATTATTAATTGTTTCTCTGATTGTCTGCAATGTCTCGCCGTTCACTATTGAAGCCCTTGCATTCATATATGCGCTTATCTATAGCTCCGTCCATTCATCTGAATCATGTGAGACATGCTTCACTTAACTCGGCCATTGGTCGTGGTATCCGCAAGACCAAGGGCTTTGACGGTCCATCTTCATCGCGAAATTCGTACGATTCTGATATTGAACGGCCATATAGAGAAAGAAGGGACACAAAATCGAATAGAACCGAAAAGAAAAACCAAGGCAGAAGTTGGCTCGATGATGACTTTGACGAGGATGAGTTTATCAGAACAGGAAATTTCCGCGCATTGCCTCGCGAACACCAACGTTTTCAGAGCAGTAAGAGGCTTACGAAGAATGAAGTCAGAGGATACGATGACCGTGAGTTTAGCGGCAGACCTCAGGACAAGCGTCACCCTCGCCGAGCGGAACCACCGAAACACCATCGTGCCACAGAGAGAGTACCAGAGCGGGTAAAAGAAAACGTGCAAGTTCCGGATGCAATCCCATACACAACACCGGCATCGGAATTCATATATGGAACCAGCGCAGTGGAGGCTGCACTACGCTGTAGCAGACGTCGTCTGTACAAATTGTATGTGTATCAGGCCTCTGGTGAAGAACTAAGCCCTGCCAAGGTTGCACTACGCAAATTGGCGCTTTTGAAGAACGTCAAAGTCAAGATGGCTTTCGGCGGATGGGACCGACTTCTTGATAAGATGAGTGCTGGTCGACCTCATAATGGCTGCGTCCTTGAAGCGTCCCCTCTGCCAAGATTGCCCGTGAGGGGTTTGAAAAGTGTTCCCTCTGTGAAAGAGGAGGATTTTGGTGTGGAACTGGGCGCTCAATCACGAGAGGAAGCATTGGTGAATAGCACGAACGACAAGCTCAAAATCCATCATTGGAACCAGAGAACAAGGTACCCTGTTGTATTATTACTTGACGGAATCGTGGATCCTGGAAACCTGGGCGCCATTATTCGCTCCGCATATTATCTTGGTGTCGATGCTATTATATTCGCTGGTAGGAACTCGGCGCCTTTGTCTCCCGTGACAATCAAGGCCTCGGCTGGAGCAGCTGAAAACATGACTCTTCTCGAAGTGAGCAACGAAGTAGATTTCATTCAGCGCTCGAAAGCCAACGGGTGGAAATTCTACGCGGCAGACGCCCCAGGTCCAGCTTCCAAATACGTCGACGCTACTTCTTTTGTTGAGGGTAAAAGTACGACCGAAGGGGGGCATGTTAGCACCCAATCGCCTTGCGTTATCATGATGGGGAGCGAGGGATCCGGATTGAGTCGTCACATTAAATCGCATGCGGACTCTATCGTGAGCATCCCTGGAGCCAGACTCGCCACACCTCTTGGTGTCGAGTCTGACCCTTCTAGAGTGGACAGCCTTAACGTCAGTGTGGCAGCTGCACTGCTGATGGAAATGTTTCTACGAGTACCACTTGCGGTGGCCGACGTGCCTCCCAAAAAAGCTCGGTAAACCTGAATTGGAAGAATAATAATGACAGCTTGTAAATATATCACTTGTACATTAGCATACTTAGACCTTACGGACAAAATCATAATCTCCATACCCAACAACATTCATCAAGGAAACATTCACATCATAAAAGTAATACTTGAGCTCAGCTCTTTTGCTAGACTTCTGCGTTGGCCTGCACAGCACCGAATCGAAGAGAACCAAAATCAAATATCTATACCATTTATTCCGTTAGAAGAGCATACGAGGGGTGTTTGGAGCATGCAACTCACCGCATATAGCCCATCCAAAAATGTTCCACCAAGGATGTCAAATTCGAGCGATCCACGGCTCTGAACACCGCCATATACATAGCCAGGTTTGGCTTCAGCAAACATCAGACTCTCTTTTGACATAACGAACGATTTCTCCCCCACTGCCAACTGAACGACTGGAAGCTGGCCTATATTGACGTCAGATGGGATGACAAAGCCTTGGCTTTCAATATCATAGAGTGCGCCTGGGATAGAATCATAAATGGCTTGACACGTTTGGTCATCAAGTAGAGTCAATGCTGCGTCGGTATCGACAACAGCCTTGTTCTCAGATCTATTCATGGCCTTTCCTCCAACCGTTGTAGAAGGGGACTTAAACATCCAATAGCCTCGACTATTGTCGACAGGCGTATGATGAACATCATGACCACAATAGCGCACAGTATCCTCGTCAATGGAGGCAAATGTGTAAAACGGTTTCTTTAGGTCAGAGTCGCCCCAAGATCCAAGTTTTACTGTGAACAACTTTGCAGATTGTTTGAGGTCGTCTCCGATATTCAAACGCTCAGCTAGAGCCTTGATGTCCTCCTGGGGATGATTGATATGCCCAAACGCCAGCCCGAGAACGCCATCTGCTGAGAATTGTGTGAACATTGGCGACATGGTTTTGGCAAGCTGAATGGGCTGTGCCTTGAAGGCCGCTCCTCCAATGGTGATATCTTCTGTACCAATGGTACCAGACACCGAAGAACCGTCCACATAGGACACTTTCCATGGCGAATCTTCGATGTCTTTGAATGTGCTCGACTTTTTGGGATCAAAGGTATGACTCTCCTCCCCACCCTCGGGTAGTGTAACTGCAGAGAGTTCACTAGAGCGCACCTGCTAGGGTTAGTATGGTGGATTTTGTCTTTCTCCTATCTCGAGCGATATAGATATATCTTACCCAAAAATCAGCAGACGCTGTATCCAAGACCAGATTCAAAGTTCGAGCCGGGGTTCCGATGCTCACTGGCATAAAGAACACAGCATCATTTTGGATATCATCTTTCTCGACTTGCTTGAATTCGTCGTCCGAGGTTTGTTTTCGCATTACGTCGTGAAAGCGAACTCGACCGCCGATAGGCTTGTCAGTGAAGGGCCGGCCAGTCTGATGAATAGCTCGACTGATAGAATAGGGGCCATTTCTGGTGGGGTGCAAACGGTATTTGCGTATCAAATGCACATAGGACTTGATCCCCGATTTGCAGTAGTTTGGATTTTCAACAAGGAAGATCTTGGATGCCATGATGATAGTAGTCGCGTTTTCGTCCGTTCAAGCGAACTCGGGAGTAGACTCATATTTAAGATGATGATGATGGAATGACAATAAGTTTCAAGATAGCCATCACTGCTGTCCTAGTGTCAGAGTCCCCACTACTAACCTACCTGCGGATCTGATTCTGGGCACATACCTTGCACGCTAAAGATGATCTACAGTTACAGTGAGCGACCGTCGGTCCAATGAGATTCAATACACGGCAACATTGAGGGGTCAGGATAAATTAGAAGCTGCGTAAGATAGATAGCATGTTAATATTTCAGTGGCAACGTCACATGTTGCACGGCGAATCAAGCAAGGCAGGTGTCATCATTGCCAACCTGAAAGACCCTCGTCGCCTTTGAACCCCGATTTCCTGTCATATGATCAATGGTTGCCTGAGGATATCCACCAGTTAATACAGATCGGAAGCTGATGGAAGCTCCACATTAGGAAGTATTCTATTGCTTTTGTATACATTTCAGATACCGTACCGCACAGGTACAGATGGATAGCTATTGTGTTACAGAGAAAGATATGACAAGAACCGTGAAGCGAGATCATCAACAATGGCATCTATGGGCCAACGCCAGACCGACTTATATCGAAAAACGAACCAAACCCCTCGCATGGCCAATTACCTTCCCAAGCACTGCAGAACGGTCATAACAATATTTAGCTGTTTAACAACTATCGAACACTGTCAGAGTTACTTCTTCCGACTTTTTGCCTTGGATGCTGTGTTAGATGAGACACTGGCTGCCCGCGACGTCGATGTAGAATTGGCTTTGCTGCCGCCTTTAACAGCCTTGACCTGCTTGTTCTACGAGAAGATACACGTCAGTTGAATACCTCGAGAGTTTTAACAAGGCCGAACTTACCACTGCGCCGCCCTTATTCTTCTTTTTAGCCGGTGCTCCGTCATCGTCGTTTTCAGCATCCTCGTCGTCTCGATCACGTCCACGGCCCTTGCCAGACTCGCCATTGGCTTTCTCATCCGCAACTTCAAACTCCTTTGCAACGGTGTTCAATAATGTTGTACAACGGCGTCCAATCTCCACGGGTGTTCGGCTAAGGAAGAACCAGTCGAACCGGAAGAGTGGGGACTCGCGAATTTCATCCCGTATTTTCTCGTACAGTCCCTCACCATCCACCCCATACTTATCGAGCATCACCAGTAAAAACCGATCCTCTTCTTCGGTATACACCTTCTTATTGGTGGTAGACACCGTGTAATTGATCTTGAGTTGCTGAAGAGGAACGCGGTACATCTCCATCTTCTTGCGAAGCATTTTACGCTGATGGTTCATCTTGCGCAGCTTCTCCTCTCCCTGCTCAACAACGCGGAGATATTTGGGGTAGTCTTGGATCTCGGTGTACCTCTTCCAAAACACTTTGGCGTATTCTTCAACTTCATCTGGTTCCTTGCTATCCACTTCAGTGGCGATCCCAACATAATCAGTGCGTCCGAACTTGGCGGAGCCATTAACAAACTGCTGGAAATCACGGCGATTCCAGGTTGAAAAGCCTTCTTCTGACATTTCAGCCTTCTGCGCCTGCTCTTCTTCAGTCAATGGCACTGCATTGTCAATTTCTTGTTGCTCCAGATCGCGCTCAGCTTCACGCTCACTAAGTTCGTCTTCAGGTCCATCAGGGAGCGGAACCTTATAGCCGATCTCTTTGTGGAAGTAGGCGGTCTCTTTCTCCTGGAGTTCTTGGAGTCCCGGAGGGAAGAACTGCCAATCGTGAACGGCAATTTGCTTAGGTGCCCGAGGGACCTTCGGTTTGGGATCAGCCGTCCTTCCACCAGTGGCTAGCGCTTGGCGATAGTACTTGTCAATAGAGTAGAACTGCTCTTTCCGTTCGCGTTTTGCCGGGTTGATCCAATTGAGGCCGATGTCCTTCTTGCGATCTGTGAAGTCCTTTCCGTTCCATTCGTATGCACTTTCGGAGCTAAACTTTTGCAAATCATCGATACCAAGTTTCTCATATTTCTTGCTCAGTTCTGCAGTTCGCTCCTCACCCTTGCGTAATATCGCATCAATATCATCGTCGGAAATTTGTTTATCGGCATTCAAAGGTGTAGCCGAGTTCTCATTGCTGAAAACGTTCGCAGCTCCGTGCTGAATCATGCCGAGCAGCTCCTCCTTTGACGCGGCGTTCTTGGTCTGTTGCTGAGCACGGCCTTGTTGAATAACAAGCTGGTCTAACCGCAGTTTCTGGGCTGCACGTTCCAAGACCTTCTCTTCAATCGCATTCTCTGTAACAAATCTGAATACAACCACTTGCTTCGTCTGACCAATACGATGAGCGCGGTCCATGGCCTGTAGATCAGCCTGAGGGTTCCAATCACTGTCGTAGAGGACAACGATATCCGCAGTCGTCAAGTTAATACCAAGACCTCCCGCCCTAGTTGTAAGTAAGAAGACAAATTTATCCGACCCTGGCTTGTTGTACTCGTCAATTGCAGCGATTCTATCCTCATGAGCTGTCGTACCATCGATACGGCAATAATTGTACTCTCTGAAAACACAGTAATCTTCCAAGATATCAAGCACACGACTCATTTGGGAGAAGATAAGAACGCGGCTTCCCTGTTTCTGCATACGTGCCAAGAGCTTGTCTAAGATTGACATCTTGCCGGCGTTGTACACAAGATGCTCATCCGTTGTATAAGGAGGACCTGGCTCAGCTCCTTCAAAAAGGTAGGGGTGATTACAACATTTGCGAAGTTGCATGACAATGTTCAAGAGACGGGTTTTAGATTCGCGCTTCCCAGCAGCACCGTTGACAGCATCGATATCCTTTTCAAGAATCTTCTGGTACCACTTCACTTGCATTTCTGACATGGGCACATACAGATTGACCTCCTTCTTGGGAAGCAAGCTCTTCTCTACGTCGCTCTTAACACGACGGAGGAGGAAGGGTCGTAGTACTCGGTGAAGTTGCTGAACAACGGTGTCCTGGTCAGACTCTTGGTTTGAAAACCATTGATCGAACGCCTCCGAGTCACCAAAAACATCCGGCAAAAGGAAGTTTAGAAGGGCCCAAAGTTCATGGAGGTTGTTTTGGAGAGGGGTACCAGTAATCAGCAGCCGATTCCGAGAATGGAACACACGGATGATCTGTGCGAGTGACGATTCTTCGTTTTTGATTCTATGGGCCTCATCGATGATAATGTACTCCCAAGCGAACTTCTTGAGGTGAGACTTCTCCCGAAGAACCATTTCGTAACTGGTGATGCACACATCGAAATTCTCATCAAGGAGTCTTTCGTTTATTAACTTATGGCGCTCCTCCTTGTCTCCCTGAAGAACAAGAACATTAACGTCAGGTGTCCATTTGTGGAATTCGCGCTTCCAATTGTCGAGCGTAGATTTCGGCACGGCAACCAAGTGAGGTCCAGTAATGTCGCAGACATGTCTGAGGTACCCGAGAAAAGAAATGGTTTGGAGGGTTTTACCCAAACCCATTTCATCGGCAAGGATACCAGAAATACCATTCTCATGTAGAGAAACAAGCCAGTTCAATCCAGCAATTTGATAATCACGCATCTCTCCATGAACGAATGGCGGGGATTCACGAAAGACGGTGCCGGTCTCGCCGCCACTCTTCTCATCCTTCAATAGCTCTGCGTCTTCCTCTTGTTCCGTCCTGCGACGCCTATCACCACCTGCACCGCCTGAACGTGACGAGCCCTTTTTTTTGGCCTTTGCCTCTTCCTCATCATTTTGCCGGTCTATCTCGGCCATTATTTCTTTGATCCGTGGGTTGGGGTTGGTTTCAATAAAATGGCGAAACAAATCGGTAAGCCCGAGGAGGTAGCGGAATCTCCGAATCGAATCATCTTCCTGTAGAATACTGTTATAAGAAACCCCAGCCGCGACAAGTGAGATGACAAATGGACTACTATACCTTTGACTCGTCCAGACGGCCATGCTTTTTACCCAGAATACTTTTCCTTAAATGAAATGCCTCAGATCGCTTCCTTCGGCCATCGACGGGAACTGTGTCGCCTGCAACACTGCTTGCTGTGGTGTTTGGGTTTGTATCCGAATCCTGGTTCGCGCCGGTTAGCCTGCGTGTTGGGAAGTGCTGGTGAATTGCGTAGAATGTACCGTATAGTCAGGAGTGTCCTGGTAGCCCTGTGTGGAAAGAAAAGTCAGCATGAACTGAAGTCCGCTAATATACATCACTTATCAATGCGCGCAAGCCAGAGCTTGTGCGAAGTGATTTGACCGGGTTCTGTCACGTACCCCCATTTGCGCGTCATCTACAGGTACCGACGTGACGGGTTCATCATTTGCATCTGTCATGGGAGTATCTGCCTGAGAGGGTGTTTCTGAATTGGGTGCGAACGAAGGCGCCATCTTCGTTCTGGGCGCACTCAGCGCAGGTAACTTGTGTTATGTATATAAAGCTGAACACGCCTTGCAAGTGCTCCGAAACACGATAGAAGGTAAACTGAATGGGGACGCTAAGATGTTGATTGCCCACTGTTCTGAGATCGATTTGGGTGGGTATTGGTTTATCGAGGGATTGATTCCCAGTATGGAACAAGGAGCGGGAATTGAACAATAAAGGTTGATGAAAGAAGTAGTCGTCAGTCGCGCCGGGATGGCAAATGGAATTTCGTCGGGGAAGCGCAGCCGTCCTACGCGCTTATTGGACAGGGGACGCGAGTTTGTAATTAGTCATAACTGAGTCATCAACCGGCGGAAGACAAGTTTCCCCGCTGTGGGTCACGTTACCGGGACAAAAGCAAAAGAAAGATCACCTGCACAAGTATCATCACTGATCATCGTCACCAGGTTTCCTTGCTTCCTTTCAACCTAATCTTTTTCACTACAGTTCCCAATTTTCCGTGGGGTGCGACCTAGACATCGGTTTTAATTGGTCTTGTTTTCGTTTTCTCTGTTTTTGTCTCAGTACGATATTTGTTGGTATATTTTCAGGGAGCACGGTTCACCTCGCCCCTCCTAGTGGCGCCAACCGCATATTGTTTTGAAGTTAAGGAGGGATATTAATACAGCTGCTTGGTTTGCAGCACGATCTACCATGGACTCCATGCGGTCATTGAACACATCGCTACCTAGCTCGACTCCTCGCCCTCAACCTCCTGAACAACTTTTACAATCGTTCAAAGCGGCCGCGCTGTCTGTTACCAATCTTTATAAAAACGCAGTCTTCGAGCAATCACAGGCGAAGCAAGCTGGCTACCAGGAAGCAATTGAGGACCTACTTCATTTTCTAGACAAGGAAGGCCTTGGCCTTGCCGGTGGAGAAGGATCGAAAATCCGACAATGGGCAGCTGAAAGGAGTGATGGAACCGGGACTCCGAGCGACGATGACGAGCCTGAGAAACAACCCCGAAGCACTAGCCCCGTGGCTACACGCAAGGAACAGACCAAGCCAGAAGGCGCCCGACAGCCACTCAAGTCGACCTCGACTGATGAGCCCGTTGCTACGCAGCAACAGACCCCACTTTCCAACCCTCAAGTCACCGAGGCAAACGCCCTTGATAGACCAGCAGTCTTTACTTTCACTGCTGGGCCTTCATTTCCCCCATGCCAAGAACCTGATGTAGATATGCAATCCTCCGACAGCTCGACTGCCTCATCTCAAGATAGTTCACCTGTGAGTGTATCTGTTCTTCCTCGGACCTCTCGGCAACAAGCCCGGCACAACAACTTGTCACGGACGAATCCTCGAGCATCCACACGGGAACCTTCCGTCGGCGCGGGCTCAAAACGAAAGTTTGCAGTTCCCGATTTTTTCGACATATCGGGGTTAGGGAATAGGGATATATTTGGGGGCGGCAAACGTGGCCGTTTCACCTAGAGAATATAGTATCCACGATTGGACGAACTTCATATTCTTATGGTAACGCAGCGGTTTGATTGATATTTTGAGTTCACGGTGCATTTGGAGGGAGTCTCGCATGTGGTCCTCTTTCGGCCACCTCTTGTTGTCTTCATTTTCCAGCCTTTTGTCTTCATTGCTTTCCTGTTTTCTATAACGGTTAAACATATAGAGGTTATCAGATCTGGTGATACCCGGTGGGGCAGCTCTTGTGATGCTTGTTTCGTGTAATTCTTCTCCTTCTGTTCTTCTTCTTTCCTTCATTTCTTCTACATGCATATATGACGACGCTTTAGGCGATTATTCTTGTTCTCAGTCAGTTCTAATACAAGTATAACTGGAAGTCAAGCAGGGCACAATCTTGTATCAAGGCTACTGTATTATTCAATTAAAAGCCCTGTAAATGCCCATTCCCACCAGCGTTGCGGAGATCGTCGCAATGCCTAGCCTCCGCGAGCCCATTTTATATTTCGTTGCGCTTTGCATGACCGTGCGCTCCTGCTTCTGCAGATTGCTCATACCCGTATAATAGCTGTAGACACCGAGACCAATAAATGCGGCGGAACCTAGTTACATTGTGCATATGTCAGACGACATTCCACTAGCTCGTTTGGACTTGTATCTGAATAAATATATATGAGAATACTATAAGAAACTAACCTGTGACCCTGCAAGCTGTACAGTCGTCATATTGGTCTTCTGCCAGTAGACGTTTAGCCTCTTTGGACTCGACCTCCCAGGCGCGGCCGTTATTCTCCGAAGCTGAAGACATTGGAATCGGTTGGTTGGTTGGACGCTAGTTGCAGCGGAGTATTCCGGTAGGTAGTATCGAGTTTCTCGGAAATCGGAAAACCGTATCACTGCCCAGGAAAGGACAGTTGATCAGTGACTCGAAAGCAAAGAACTGCCTTGAATTTCAGCAAGAGGAATCGCATCGATACAGAATAAAGGCGGCATTCGGCGGCAGAACACGGGGACAATTTAAAGATGTCATGAGCGCAGCCCCATGTCGTTGCTTCTCTCCACTGATAAAGGAACCAGACAGATCGGCATGATGAGCGGGGAGATTGATGCGCTTTATATCTACGACGAGCATAAGTAAGCCTATTTCCCGATTTGCTTTAACATCTGTTCTACAATAACTGACTTATCGATCCACAGTAACCCTCTTGTAGAGCAGGTCTATCGATCCCGTCCGCCCTCCGCAGCTACTATCCTACCCCTCTACCTCGCGCATCCAGCTCCGCGGCCGTCGCTCCTTTATATCCCTAATACTACGCCGCCCGTAACCGTTTTCTCAATTGTTCAGTCAAATTTGCTTTTTCTGGCGCTTTCCGAAGTTGATACCGAGCCACTCGTTGCGTTAGAGTTCCTACATCGTGTAGTGGATGTACTTGAGGAATTCGTCGGAGCACCGTTGATTTCACACAAGATACAGGCAAACTATGAAGTGGTTGCACAGTTACTCAATGAAATGTGCGATGCAGGTGTCGTGTGCAATACGGAGCTAAATGCGCTACAGGAGGCCGTTGAAATGCCGGGGTGGATGGGGAAGTTGCTAGGTAATGTAGGGCTGTCAGGGTGAGTCTCTCATGCCCAGTCCTCTTTGGTTTTATATAATATTGCCGCTTATAACTGCCTATCTATTGGCTACTAACATCATCACCTTCAAAGGTCCTCTACGCCTATTTTGGGACCTCCGAATACGCTCAAGCGGTCAATCTCAGCCAATGCGGCGACTCAAGGACCTGCGATACCATGGAGAAGATCTGGAGTGCGGCACACTTCCAACGAGCTATATGTTGATATTATCGAATCACTCTCGGTCACAATGGCGCCTTCAGGGCGATTACTCTCTGCCTTGGTGTCCGGCACCATCGCCTTCACAGCCAAAATATCCGGTGTTCCTGAATTACTCCTTTCCTTGACGGCTCCTGGTGGTCAGCAAGCCATTGGGCGAAAGCTCGAGTTACCCGTTTTTCATCCCTGTGTACGACTGGCAAAATGGAGAGAGCGACCAGGAGAATTGAGCTTTGTGCCCCCGGATGGACGGTTTATTCTTGCAGGGTATGAGGTAGACCTTCTACCCATTGATCCCAGCCTCGATCAGCCGCCAAGTCATATGGAGAAACTCTTCCTGCCTGCCATTGTAGACATTCGTAAATCTCTCGGTCCAACCGGCTCCGATTTCGAAGTCCGCTTGATCCTCAATACAAACTTCCCGGGGTATTCGTCCTCGAACCGGCCTGGAGGACGGAATGGTTCAGGTACGTCGACGCCATCGTTTCTTGGAGGAGGCGGGAACTCCTCGGGTCCTGTCTTAGAAGACGTTTTAGTCACGATACCTATTCCGAAATCGGTCCGTAATATCACAGACATGCAAGCCAGCCGCGGTGATGCGCTCTTCTCCTCTGGTAACAATGTCCTTGAATGGCGAGTCCCGACCAAAGACGCTGGAACTGTCTCGGGCACCGCAACCCTCCGTTGCACCGTGGCCGGACATTCAACCGGTGACGATGACTTCGATGAAGAAGCCGAAGAAGTCGACCCGGAAGCCAACCTCCTCCAGGGCTACTACGATGCCGAACCCTCAACATCCTACCAAGCCCCCGAAGAAGGGACAACAAAGCGGAAAACAAAGAAGAAGAAGAAGAAGAAGGTCAAGAAGTCCTCTCGCGCCGCCCCCGCCATACCAGATGCAGAGCAACAGGAGATAACCCAAGAGATAACCCAAGAGCCATCCCAACCGCAATCCCCGACACCTCCTCAACCCTCTCCTTCACCGCAACCACTAGCACAACAACCTCCAACCGACGACGCGTCTCGCTCAATCTTCCACACTACACAACGCAAAACCAAAGCCCAGTTGAACGCAACACTCATGCCTAATTCTGCCGCGGTGTCATTCTCAGTCAGAGGCTGGCTTCCCTCAGGAATCAAGGTGGACAGTCTGAACATCGACCCGCGACGAAGTCGTGGTTTAGGCGAGACTGTGAAGCCTTACAAGGGAGTGAAGTACTTATGTGTCAGTCGAAAAGGAGTGGAGAGAAGATGTTGATATATACTATTATCATTTGCTTATTTTGATATTTTTTTTTCTCGTTGCTGCTCTTTGGCTACATGGAATGACAATCTAGCAAGGATCTGATATAGATGATAAGCATTCATCATTCGCATGATACGAATAATGATACTTGACATACGTTCAAATAGAATGCATAGAACTAGACTCAAGATGAAAGTGAAAGCAGTTCGTAGGTTAACACTACCTAGCCAGCTAGCTCGAAGATTCTGAATAAACCTCGTTTGTACAACAATACACTTTCAAAGAAATGACAACGCTACCGAACCAAAATATTACATATCCGAATCGAAAATATTAGGTCACATTAAAGCTTCGAAGCACGGCGTTCAAGAACCTGAAGCACGAGATAGGCCACTAACCAAAAACATATTGTGAGTAAGTTCATCATAAATGGGGTATTAGATCAATAGAGTAGATGGGTGTAGATTGAACAAAATGGTATCTCAGAAGGGAAAGAATATCGCAGGGAAATTAAGACAAAAGAAACGGTGGGAAGGAATGGAAGGAAAGCGGCGACTAGTAAGCCTCTCAAAAAAGCCGCAAAAAGGGAGTTAGGGTATCAGTCGAGTTCATTCTCTGTCTGGAGAGGTGCGGACAGTAAGAATTCAAACGTTTCAAGGGCCAATATGGGTTATATGAAAGAAGCCGAAGAGGGGCAGGCAAATCTGTCGGGTATATCGACGAACGAGACGAAAATAATTACTCACCAGCAGCGACAACGACAGCTCTGCCAGCACCAGCCTTCGCAGAGCCTCCGCCGAGAGTGAGGATGTAACGCAGCCAGCCGAATCGGATCTTGTTTCCGCTGCGATCGAAATCGGGTGCGAGAGTGCTGGCTGCCTTGAACTTGCTCAGCTTACCCGCGTATGGCGGATAGCGGATTGAGAGGATGGATTCGAGCCAGCTGGGTGTGCTAGTAATGGGACGACGGTGAACGAAGACGTCGAAACTGGCCTTGCCACGGTAGGCGCCGTGGCCACTCTCACCGACACCACCGAATGGGAGGGTAGGGATGTGCAAAGCAGCATCGTTGACGGAGACACCACCAGAGCGAGTAGAAGAAAGAACTTGGAAAGCGTCAGACAATCTCATACCGTCTTTTTTTTAAGCAATAATGGGAATGAAAACGTGCGGGAACATACTCTTTTCAGTATCTGCCTTAGAGCCGAACGGGTAAAGACCCAGAGGAGTGGCCTGGATTCCATTGGCAATGTTGACTGCCTGTTCGAGGTTGTCCACGGGCAAGATAGGAATCAAAGGACCGAAGCTTTCCTGTGTCAGCATCGAATCATCAACTGAGTCCACCAGAACCAAGGTTGGCTCAATGAAGAGCTCCTTTTCGTCCATTGTACCTCCCATCAAAATCTTGCCCTTGGTATTGTCGAGCATTGACTTGATGCGACGGAATGCACCTTCATTGATGATGCGAGAATAGTCTGGCGATGCCTTGGCACCTTGAGGATAGAATTCATTATAGGCTTTCTTGAATTCTTCAATCACGGCAGGTACAAGGTCCTTATCAACTAGCAGGTAGTTTTGGGAGGTACAGATCTGGCCAGAATTCATCAGTTTACCCCACAGAAGTCTCCGCGCAACAAGTCTCGGGTTGGCGCTCTTAGTGATGATGGCCGGGTTGATGCCACCCAGCTCCAGCACGACGGGGGTCAAATGAGGAGCAGCTGCCTTGGCGATGATACGGCCCACGGTGGCACCACCAGTGAAGAAGATCTTGTCCCATCGCTCGGCGAGCAAAGCTTGGGTCTCCGGGATACCTCCTTGAATAACAGTATAGCAGGACGGATCAAGGGCTGCCTCAATGATTCGCTGGATAACAACCGCAGAGTTGGGCGCATTCTCACTAGGCTTAATCACAACAGTATTACCGGCTGCGATAGCGCCGATGACGGGACCGAGTGTCAACTGGAAGGGATAGTTGAAAGCTCTGTTGAAATATTCTATTAGTATGCTTCCGCAAGCGAAGAGCTCAAGGCATCTTGGGGATCGTATTAAAGGGGGCGGGGGTGAACTCACCCAATAACCAGAACACAACCCAATGGATCCTTGCGAATCTTAGGATTCATAAACTTGAAGGATAGATCAATATCTTCGGCTTTTTCATCCTTGGCCCATTTGTGCAAGTTTCGAGTCACGAACACGAGGTCATTCTGCAGCCATCCACTCTCAGCGACCTCGGTTTCGAAGCGAGGTTTACCCAAATCCAAAGCTGAAGCATCGGCGATCTCTTGCTCATGATCCTTTACGCTGTCAAGACAAACGAAAAAGTGTCAGTCAACCTATGCATTGTGCAGCTCATTGCCAAGCTAAGAATAAAATTATAGATTAAAAAAGTAAAACTCACGCCCAGTAGAGCTTCCGGAGCTGGACCAGTCGAAACTCAAGGTCACGAGTCTTGTGTTCCAGAAAAGTCTTGCGCAGGGTAGACACGCGACCTGGAATATCCTCGACAGGAGTATACTGGAGAGGGGGGATATTCGAGGCGACCATGGTGACGACAATGGTTGTTGGTGGAATGGAGAGAACGGGGAGTGGCGTCGGAGAATTGATGCGGAGACGGAGCACCCCGAGTATAAATGAGCTGATCAGGTGTTATCGCTTGCCCTGAAAGCTTCACGTAGTGTAAAGGAGAGACGATAGACTATTATTTAAGATAGCCAAGGGGAAAAATGAAATCATATATAAATCATTCTTACTTTTGAGACTACGGAGATGATAGACTAATCGAAAATACATTAAGAGGAGTCAACATAAGCACCCACATGATCTTATCCCCCCCTCATCGGCAGTGACAGTTGAACCGCGGTATTCCTCCTCCCCTTAGACCATTAAAGTTGGGTCGGACGAGCGGTCCCACACCATTCATCATTCCAGAACGAACGCCTATACCAAGCTGAGTACTGACAGTGAACTAACTTATCAAGACCGTCTAATATTTCCTCGGCTTAATTCTCAACTACTAGTGACCAGTCTGGTACAGCTACGGAAAATCAACACCAATGACTTCCTCCCCACTGCGTTTTAGCTCATAATCGTTATCCTGTTTAGGTAGGGATCGACATTGCCTGGCTCATGCGATCGACGGAACCTCGCAAGGAGTTCTCCATTGGGCGTCTGCTCCAAATCTCCGAAACCTACTATGGCAAGTACTAGTAATTAATCTCTTGAGTCTTGACTTGACATACTCCACCATATGGCATCTCTAGAAATTAAAAATAACTGTCCATACATTTCAAACGATGATTCACGAAACCAGGTCCAGTCATTAACTTAATATAAGTTCGCTTCTGTTCTCTCCAGTCTGACACTTTCAGTGTCCGATGACCTAGTAAATTTATTTTGCTGCCAACAGTAACTATATATGATCAATCAGTGGAATCACGGAGTACATGCAATGCATTATACACAATCCTGGGTTTACCTGATATTGAGCCGTCATTATTCCCATCAGGGTATACTTAAAAGTTGAGCTCTCGTGGCTTTATATATACAGAAATTTAAGATATCAGCAAGAAAGACTGAAAAAATATCCTCTCCCGACCTTGTTAAATCAAGCTATCAAGACAACATTGCTTTGACTAGTTACTCGAGATACTCATCGGGCACAGTCTTAAGTCGGACAAACAGCCACGAAGGTCGAAAGTTATCTATCTAAGGACTGGAGTGACAACTTCATCAACTAAGTGACAGGGACCTGGCTCCAGCCTTGATAGGGCCCCATGGGCCATTGCGAACAACCCTAGAAAGGTTCCCCATCCTAGACCTGTCAGACTATCTCACTTGGGAAACGGATCCTGGAGGTCTTTACTTAGTTGAGACTCTACAGACTGATTTTGGTTATATAAAACTCCAAACGGATGGGCTAAGCTTGATCATTTATCTGGAGCCAAATCAGAAGATCCTCCCCCAGGTTTTGAGTTCCGCGTCTGGTCAAAGCAGACAGCTGTTGATACCTAGTAGATGATACCGCTGCTGGAAAAACGGAAAAGGTGACAATCAAACATTCACCTCTTCCATTATCTTTCCCCTGGAGGTAGCGGTCTCGCGTCCGCGGATCCTATTTTCGGAAGCCGCGGGTCAGGAAGGCCAAGAGGCCTTTCCGGTTGTGGCGAGCATGGCAGTGCAGGACCCGCGGAAAGTCAACTTTTAAGACTTAGGGTTTGATGAGTATTATGGTTGCGGAGGCGCGGGTGAGTGATTGAGATATTGGAACCATTGATCGGGCTAATAGGAGAGCCTAAAAGAGGTAAGGACTGTAGGATGAGACGGGCACTTGAGCATGCTCCATGCTATGTAGAATCTAATTCCGGAAGTAGTTAAAAGTCGCATGAATTGTTATACCAGTTCGCTGGATAGGCTCAGTCTACCTGCATCTTTGAAGTGTAGACGAGGCCGCCCAACCGAAGTGACATATGTTGATCTTAGATATGTTCGTGCAAGGCCCCGCTGGCACCTTAGGCTGAGCAATCGGCCACCCATATTCCGCGTACCGACACAGACTGCTTCTCTAATCGGCTGTATAGAACCTCTCAAAGGGAATGGCGAGCTGAAGGGGGACTTACTAGCAGCCCGTGATGCTGTGAGGATATTTGCGAAATATGCTGACCCGGAATGACACGTTCAACAGTATTGAAGGTTACTGGCATAGTAGTGGTGAGGTCGTCTCTACACTGGCTGTGATAGTTATAATCCTACGCGCTGAGCTTAGAGAGTCGTGGACGAGTATGAGGCAAATGGTACGAAACTAGGAGATGCCTTATAAGACCTGTACCCTAATTTGGAGCTATCCTAGGCCACTGGTCTTAGTAGCTTTAGCTTCAGCGCCAGTCTCCTTAGTGCTTACAGTGTAGACGCCAGCGTGGGCCACTACTTCCTAACTATCTAGATACTCATGGATGTAACTTGTCAGGTGTGAGTTACTATGAGGCCCATTATGTTCAAGGGACTAAAGTTTTCTTGTCCAGGGTCTCCACCACGCACATGGGCAACGGTTTGCACCTCGCTAGACTAGTGCTGGTTAGGGCTACATAGCTTAGAGCTTTAGACTTAGAGTGCTTAGGGCCCGTCCCTCTAGTCTCTAGCCCCGTCTACTAACTTAAAGCCAACGGCTGTTGATCAGGTTACGGTCAATTCCGACACATTCAACCTATCATGTACTGTGTGGCATGTGAAAAGAAGAAAGAGTCGCTGAGAAGTGGACGTGTTCTTTCCAGGATTGCGAAGTCTTAAAAGTGCATATAGAATGAGGTAGCTCCAGGGAAGCCCTGAGCAAAGTCAATTCCTGGAAATAGTTATCTAGCCAGTGCTTATTTAAATGTCTCTTGAAACTGCACCGAGGGTACGAACCACTAGTGTGTACCAGAGTATAAATCAATATATTCGGTTCCAGAGCCACTGCGCCGTCGCAGGAATGCTATAGCTACACTAGTCACATGAAATGAGTAAGCTGAATACTAATGTAGGTGACTGAACGGCCATCGCAGATCACTCTGGTTTGAAATTAAAGTATTACACAAACTAAAGTGTTTCTGATTCCTGCTATACCAGTTTGGATGATCCTACACTCTAAAGAGGATGGAGTATATATAAATTTCAGCAAGTTCTGGTATCCCGAATGACATTTCATAATATAATCTCAATAATATAACTATCAGAACATCAACACCATTAATAATAAGGCCCTGATGATTATCCCTATCTGCTCGCATATCCAGCGACCAAATACTAAAGTCCATGCATGGCCAAGCCCTCATTGTATAAGTGCATCAGTACGTGGTTGCATCGCCTTTGGGCTCTGATGAGTGGTAATATATTAGTACATGAATTAGTGTTCATAAATATAGACCCTAAAGCTGTTCAAGTGAAAAATTCAATACGTAAAGATACCGCTTAACGGCGGGTTAGAAAAGAGTTGGTTTCGCTGATGTATATATTCACATGTGGGGGAACTGTTGACAAGGATCAATGGCAGGAGACGGTTAGCCGCGGTGCGACGCGGGGTTGGCAGAATTTCTGAACATTTTCTGAAGTTGTTCATCGGATTATGCATCTTTTGGAGGGTCAATGGATCGGAATTGCCAAAGCTCAGATTTTGTATCTAATTAGCTAGGATAGGTGGATACAGTTAAAATACCGTTCCTTTTCATTACTACATTGATAGAATATGGTTTCGTAAAGATAGAAGGGGTGCGATTTACCAGTACAGGACCGTTATCGAGCCATGAGGTCCAGAAGGTCTCACTAGCGCAGATATATCCCAGACCGCCTTTTTCTTTAGCATCGTCGTTTCGGTTCCCCAAGGGCCTTGTAGTGCTGTAGTACTATCTACTCTTTACTGTCAAAGGAATCAGATTTTGCACGAAGAAAAAGAAGAATGCGATAACTAGATCATGCTATGAAAATCGATCCTTTTCATCAAGGAAGCTATAATCTATACATCAAAAACTCCTGGTGGGTACTCAAAGTCGGCTAAAAACAAAAACAGAATCATCAAAAACGATTTGTGAGCTGAGCTCAGTGCTTGAATTGATCTTCCGTCACACCCTTGCCCATGGCCGCAGTGCTGCTCACACCACCGGTGACCATCTTCAGGAGGTTATCCACATAGTTGGCACCGCTCCATTTCTGGTGGGTAACCACATCGACTCCCTGCTCCATCTCCGGCTCTTGGACCAATTCGCCGTAGGCACGCATGCCATGCTTGGAGTAGGCCTTGGCGAACTGGTCAGAAATGAGGGCTGTGGTGTGCAGACCAGCCAGGGTGATAAACTGCCAGCAGTAACCCAGAGCACCCAGGCGCTTGATGTACGTCTCCTGCTCATCGCGGGGCATGGCCTTCTTCCAGTTGAACGAAGGCGACAAGTTGTAGGCAAGTCTAAAAAGTCTTCGTTAGCATCCGGTATAGTAGGTATTCAATTGATACCGGTCTACTTACTTTTGCTCAGGCCAAACAGCGTGAATGCCTTCGGCAAACTCCTTAGCCTGGGCGTAGTCGGGGAGCTTGCTCTCCATCCAGATGAGGTCGGCAAATGGAGCGTAAGCAAGACCACGGTTGATGGCACACTGGGTGCCACCCTGGAGCCGGTAGTAACCCTCACGGGTGCGAGGAGCATCCCAATTCCAGTAGATGTCCTGTCCAGTAATGTTCTTGGCGATCGCGCGAGCTTCAAGGTTGCTCTTGCCCTTGGCGGCCTTCAGGTATTGATCAATGAGGGATTGCTTGTTAGAGTGGGCACCCTTGTTGATGGCCTCAATGACAGCATCGTTGAAAAGCTTCAGGCCAGCCTGAGCAACCCACTGGTCTTCGATAGCTTGGAGTTCGTCTCCCTGCTTTCCAGCTTGTTCAGCCGCCACCATGAGATCCACGAGAGGCTTGAGGTTAGGGTTGGTCGAGCCGACGATGAAGGCATGGTCACGGTGATCGATCGTAGAGGTGATAAGAGTAGCAGCTTCCGCGTCGGTTCTGGCAATGGCAAGAAGATCGGTGCCTGAGAATAGTTAGTCGGCGAAGTCTTTTAAAACCACAAACAGGACAGTCACACGTACCCATGATATCTGCCTGCGCACGGATGGCGACCAAACGGTTGATGTGCTCGCTAATGGGCACAAGAACCTTTCCAGCCATGTGGCCACACTTCTTGGTACCAGGAGCCTGGTCCTCAATGTGAATACCAGCAGCACCGCGCTCAACAAACAGCTTGGTCAACTTCATAACCGCAGTCAAGCCACCATGTCCAGTGTCAGCGTCAGCAATAATGGGACGCAGATAGTCAACGTTTGCCACATTTCCGCGCTTCTCCTTGGGCGTCGTGATCCGTTCCTCGCGCTGTTTCCGGTCATGGAACAGCTGGGCCATCCAGAGCTGGTTTACCTTGTTTGGCACAGTGTTCTGGGTCGATTAGCAACGGAGCTATTTAATCCAATGTGTTCGAAACGAGTGGAGCTTACCATGGGGTAGTCAGCAAGATCCGGGGACGGCTCATCGGTAGAGGAAGCAGTGGAAGAGCTCTGCCAGCCAGAGACATAGACGGTGTCAAGGTACTTTGCCATTTGTGTGACCATTGTGGGTTCGAGACAGCCGTAAGTGAAGCTAGCAACTTTGTTCTTTTGCGACGGGATATTAGCTACTGCTCTGACTTGTTTCGGCTTGAATGCATACCTCGAAGTTGCTCTCCAAAATTTTCCAGAGCTTCTTGCTCTGGACATTTGATGGGTACTCGATCTTCAAGTTTCCACGCTTGGCCACAATCTGCTCTGCGGAGAAAGGGCGTTTGGTGTGTCGCCATCTGGAATCGGTCCACCAGGCCTTGACGGCCTGGACGTCGTCCAAGAACTTCTTGTCCTCGTCCTCGAGATAACCCATGGTGTTGAAAATAATAGGGAGCTTTTTTTTTTTTTAAAAAAAAAGGGATAAATATAGAGATAATTGCAATGATATAATACAGTAGGTACTAATGCAGTGGATATAGTCCCCTTGTCTGATCGGAATACTGATAACCAGAAAGAATGAAATTCAAGGGGGGGAGAAAGATTAAAAAAGTTCTGCTATTCAGAAGCTCTGAATGAATCACCAGGCCAAAGCCAAGGTACTTATTGAGTTGCACGCGCCATGAAAATGCGTCAGAGGGCTGGCCTGTCGTCGGTAAACGCTCGGCTCAGCGGGACAAGAAGGAATGTCACAAAGCTCCGGCTTCGCGTCAACCGGGGGAAAGTTACCAGGATCTTCTGCAGTCACCATTGGACTAGGTTTACCGTAAACTAAATTCACAAGCCAATGCCGATGGTCGGGCAAGGTGACTGGTGCTGTGTTCGGAAGAGAGGATCGAGACTTTGGGAAGATCCTCGGTCTAATGGACCTCTGATGCATTCGCCACTATGAGTATCTGCACGCCTTATAATTCAGTAACCTTAATAGGTGTCATTCTGAGATCGCTGTCCAGGCATTGACTCCTACCTGTATAGCAGAGGACACCCTTTTTCTATAGCAATTGAACATTTTGTTCAAGATACACAGCGGAATGAATTTCAAACGTTCTGAACTACTCTAGTATAAAGAAAGTTAAGATGACGTCGGAACATGTGCTTGTTTTAGATGACCGTACGTGACAATACGTAATGGGCAAAAGTGTATCCCTCTTCAGTAAACCTTCGTATGCTACCATACACGAAACCAGCTATTCTGAGTCATCAGAACTCCGGGGTAAAAAACCTCGCCCTTCTGTTTCTTCCCCACAACCGCGCATTAGTAACTGAACGACAAGGATCATATCAAAGAGATTGGTCGCTTTCAATTTAGATCCCTGATACTTCAAAACTCCACGGAAGACTTTATCCATCAGTAATCTAGTATACACTCCGCGGGTGTTGCGGAACTGACTTCCAAGTTCGATTCTCGATACAGGCAATATCGGATTAGTCCCAGACAGGCAAGAACCTCGGTAGTCAACACACCAATCACAAGCGCCTGTGGTCTCACTCTTGAGATGCACGAGAATGGCCTCGGGTAATTAAGGAGCCATTTTCGTTTCGTTGTCGACTCGATGAGTGTCTGTTGCAAGGATAATAACCAATATACAGCATATAAATCTTCGGACGTTGACCGAAGAGCCAAATCGCTTTTATACAGGAAGTGGGAGAGGGATATGGTGAGGGGGTCTCTGGTAAAATGCCTCGTATAGAACGAATGATATAACTTGAAACCTGGAGTGCAGGTCGATGGCGAATTCACATGCAGAAATTAATATAGAATTCATTTGTAGATGTCTGGGAACAGTACCTCATGCACCCACCCCAAATGCATGTGTCAATGTGATTTAGATTCATGTTGGAGAATTAAATGCACCATATGTTCATGGTCCGTATTCGGCATGATACAGAGAGTGCTCGAGGGTGCTGCCTTACCAGGCTCCCATGGAGCTTTACAAACCATCAGACTATCTACATACATCCGTGCCTTCACTCAATATCCTCAGCTAAGGCTTTCCTAGCACGTTGTACCATGTGGCAGTCTGTATACTTATACTGCTGTTGCTCTAAGTAGCATGGATGGAATCTGCTGAACATGAAGTATACATATGCTTTTTTAGATCAAGGAACCTATTGACATAGTGAGGGACTGATAACACGATGCGTCGCATATCGTCCACGGGAGTCTTTCCTTGTTAACTATCTACGAAGTACCTTGCTAGTAAGCGCCCAGACATACCCCTCAGGGCTGAGCACCATCACACAGGCCAGTAAATGATGGTCTTCCACTACATGTCTTCTACGTTCTGGAATACATTCGAGCTTGCTAAGTCTCAGACTCCTGGAAAGAGCCTGTACAGTTGAAAATACACTTATTTTCAACTAGATATCTTTCACAAGGTTTAAAACAGTGCCTGGATACGTTCGTACAAGATAGGAAGACAACCTGATCTAGTAGACATGAGAAATGTTACGGTGAGTTTTCACGTCGTGGACTGGTCTACGATAAAAACGCGTAATGATGCGTATCCTTCCTATGTGCGATGCTAATCATCACACGAGGGAAACGCTTTTAATTACCCATGCCATGTTCGTGCATTGACCAGTCAATGCACCCAAACTGGGTATTTCAACACATTCGATATTTCTGCGGGGTATCGGCCGAGCCCCAAATACTTCTATAATCGAGCTACCGCCACCTAACAGGAGAGTTTGTTTGGCAAAAAGCATGGGAAGCAACCCTAAACCGTTGGAAGGGAATTATCCACACTGCCTTTGGTCGATATGATCGGACCCTAACGAAGCCGGAATACCAGAGGTCTTGGTGAGGAAGAACCTCGACAACCTATTCCAATGCCATAAGTGGCACGACAAGGGGCATAAGCAGGAGAATTGAAATCTCGACTGAAAATAAGTACCTGATTAGAAAGAGATTTAGAACAGAACCCGAGTTTCGTGACGACGAAGGCTTTGATCGTATATTGACTTGCGTGGATGGCTGAGATCATTTCATAAGTGCGTTATAATGCTCACCGAGACCGTACGTATGCCGATAGTAGGCCAACCAAATGATGCGTTTGCTCTTCTGTTCGTCATCATACTCTTGAGTATCACCTTCGATCTTTTCAATCCTTCCGTCACCTTGTATGATGTTGATTTCCACACCATATGCCTTAGCAATCGCTAATAGCTCTAATTGTCCACCCCACTCTGCTGTAAGCTTGATCTTGCGAGTGTATAGTTCCACGGGCTCTTCCATGAAGGGCACAAAATCAACTTGGTGCTCGTTTATGAAATCGGCTGTCACAGCCCTAACTGCTCTATAGCCATCGTGTTGAGGCGAGGCTACCGTATCAATGCGGGACTGAGTCGGGGTCTCAAGGATGATTCTTTTTGGGTCAGGTTTCAAGCCAAGGCCTAGCATTTCCAGCTGGTAGGCAATGGCGGAGTAGAGACAGTGCCCATCAGGCTTTATCTCAACCTGTTTCAACCCCAACCGTTTGAAAACGCCATCCATGACCTCTTGCTCATCTCCACGATAATCTGTTTGTTTTGCAGCTTCTTCCGCGGCAATGGCAGACTGCGCCGCTTGCTCCGCAGCGCGACGTGCCAGACGAGCCTTCTGGCGATTAGGTTTCTTAGGTCGTGGTGACGGGGTGGAGGCCTCTGCGGTCGCGGAATATGTATCTGGAGAATTATCTATCGATGGAGGGTTCTGTGAACCATCGGTTTCGTCCTTCTGTGTTTTATCTTCTTCCGAACCATTCAAACTGAGATCGTCGAGGTCGTCAACGGGAGGGGCAGGCTCGCCATTTAACTCTGCAATCTCGGCCTGGTGTCGTTCGGAAAGTTCACTCTGAAGCCTATCGCATTCTTCGTTAATACCCCGGCGGGTCTTCTTCGTGGCAGATTTCTTCTTCTGAGTGATGCGTGCTTGGAGATCTTTTTGTTCCTTGCGGTGTTTCGCTAATAACTCCTCCATTCTTGTTAGGGATATAAAGCAAAAGAAGATCTATCGGTCTAATTAGAAATCAAGACAAGAAGAAGAAGAAGAAGAAGAAGAAGAAGAAGAGAAAAGGGTTATGAAAAGAGCACAATCTATGAAACTGCGGGATATGTTGCTGTTGGTACCCCATCTCAAGATCTAACAGAACTGTTACAGCCCCGCAAATCCTTTGCTGGAGGTTGCCCTAGACGGCATCCTAAAAAGGTATAGCGCGTCGAATGCAACTGATGTTGGTTCAACGCCAACTCAGACTGATGACCATAATCTGATATCAAGAATCCAGCTCCATGTTCAAGATAATTCCGATAAGATATTTTTATGATTTCATTGAGGAATTATCAGATCGTTGGTTCTTTGGGCTGACTTACATCTAGAACGATGTCAAAGATCGCATTAATATTTATCCTGTTCCGGGCAGCTTACAGCCTCGGTATCTTCCGTTCAGTAATCTCGGCCGTCGGATAGCTAGGAGCTAGAGTAGTAGTTATATGGCACGAAAGCCCTTCTACTCCTGGATGTCCTTAACGTTAACCAGACTACATCCACCTTGAACTTATACTGAACACCATTCCCGTATAATACCCTGATACTCCATTTGTTGGCAATTTTAGTGTTTGGTGCTGCTATCATGGATTCCCAAAGCCTCTTCGATGTGAAGGTCAGCAATGAAAGTCCCATGAAAGCACCTGGGTCTTTACTGAACGCTGTATTTAGGGCAAAGTGGTGCTGGTCACCGGTGGAGCCAAGGGTATTGGTCGCATGATCTCTGAAGGATACGTAGCGAACGGTGCCACCGTTTACATCTCGTCTCGTGATGCCAAGGCTTGTGAGAAAGCCGTAAACGAGCTCAATGCGCTTGGCAAAGGAAAGGCACACGCCATCCCCGCCGATTTTTACAAAGAAGAGGATGTTAAGAAATTGGCTGAAGAGCTTGGGAAGCGCGAGAGCAGTACGTTCTTGGTTAACGCCACCATCCGACTGGGCTGCCGTCTTAAACTTAACTAATTTACCAACCAGAGCTGCATGTTCTTGTTAACAACTCCGGATCGAACTGGGGTGCTCCTTACGATGAATATCCTTCCTCTGCTTGGACTAGAGTACTCACTCTGAACCTCCACAGAGTCTTCGACCTGACGAGGCTCGTTACACCCTTGCTGGAGAAGGCAGCCACCTCGGGCGACCCAGCCCGCATCATCAACATCGGTAGCATCGATGGTCTTCGGGTTCCAGCACTTGAGACGTTTGCTTATAGTGCCAGTAAGGCCGGTTTGCATCATCTGAGCCGAGTCCTTGCAAACCACCTTGGTAGAAGAAACATCACGTACGTGTTATTTACGATTTGATAGAACGCCCACTAACCGATTCACCTACAGATCAAACTCGCTGGCTTGCGGTCCCTTTGAAAGTAAGATGATGGCTGCCACCCTTGAAACATATCGGGAGCAGATCGAAGGAAATATCCCACTGGGCCGTATTGGTACCCCCCAAGATGTGGCCGGTGCCTGCTTATTCCTGAGCAGCCGCGCTGGCTCGTATGTGAATGGAGCCACTATCACACTGGACGGTGGCAGCGCTATTGCTGCCAAGCTGTAAGATCTAGGTTGATGTAGTACATATCAGAAATATTGACTCCACAATCCTGCGATTAACAAGATAGCGTCCTGTTACAGAAGGTTTAACCTAAAATTTCATTGGCATATCTATGAACCGTTTCTTTGCTTTTTCTGAATATTCACCTGCAGGCTTATGTACAATGCTCATGCAGAGTAAACTTTCAGTCTGGCACGTTTTTCTTAGCGGGCGCATACCAATCTACTACTGGTATTAGTAAATGCTGAACCCTATTGACATCATCGAGCATCTACATCGCTCTGTGCGCATACTATTATGACATAACAGTGTCAACTGAACGGCGCCACATATGCCATAACTGGCGGAAGTTCGCGGGAAGTATCGTCAGGCAGCCTGTAGCAAGGAAAAAGCATGTTCATTGGGATCGCAAGCCATCAGCCCTTCTGATATTAGGATCGACTTACGGATGACTCCGTTTCAAGCTGAAGTGTCAGGGTGGCTGTACGGAGTGTGCAGCCTATTTGTTTTGATCTCGATGAAAGTACTGGCCCAGAAAATTCCCTCTTATATTGCTAGCGATCCTCCACTTGGGGGTCGATCTAAACTATAGCGACGGATCGCGTGGGGTTGAGGCTCGCTGCAGCCGCAATTGGTCTGGATTAATCCCTCAATTTGATACTACTTACTTAATACGATTCCTTGGTGCGTTTCACGTGAGCAGTCATATTATTTGATTTTAATATAGATCTATATGTTATGCTATTTAAACCTCAAGATTTCGAAGAGTTACCCATAGCCCTGTGCTGCACTTTTGGATGCAGCAGCTTCACCCCTAGCGATTTTGGCCCTAGTGTGCCTTACATATCGAACATTCTAATACCAACTGCTATCCATCAACATGTGGAAGCCGCCGGTGAACTTTATCACCTTGCATTGTAAGTCGGGAGATTCCGAAGGTATTATTGAACAGCACTGACTTGATCGCTCATGAGCGTAGATACATACATCATTCTTTGCAGTCTATTGGGGATAGTTATCCTTTATCCCTATGGCAATTTGAGCGCGATCAATGCATTCTTCTTTGGAGTCAGCTCTGCCACAGTATCAGGACTTAATGTGTTGGTCTGACCGTCTCCTATCATCTTTGAAGAACTATTACGGAGAAGAATTGTCGCTGAGCAACTCTTCGTTCAGTGTTGATCTAAAAGACCTTAAAACATACCAGCAGCTGTTTTTGTACTTCATTCCCACCATTTGCAACATGTGCTTCACCAATATCCTCGTGGTCATTGTGCGACTCTATTGGTTTGAGAAGCGTTTGAAAGAGACAGGTACTTAACTGGCTCTTTGGTGCTCATGTCGGGACTTGTACTGAAGCGGATCATCCGATAGCTCCCACTGCCTTTCGCCCAAGTTCACGTTCAGTAACTCCTAAGGAGTATGATTATGACCAGGAGGCACAGCCCAGAAAACTGAATTTCAATTGTGCCCGGGACTCAGAACAGACCGCCGGAGAGAGGACTAGTAACATGGACAACGAGCGCTTGGCAGGCTCGAACAGAAGCCAAACAGCGCCACAAGAGTACGTGAAACCTATCCTTGCATTATGGTCATAGTATCTGGTGTGAAACTTACTAAAATTTCCATTCTACAAGTAGACTAACAGACTCGAAGCCTCCAGATGGCCAGGACTCAGATACTATTCAGCCAACTAACCGTCGTATCTCCTTCGTGGACAACAATAAGGCTCTATACATTCCTTCTCCACGGGAACGTGATAGAGGTATACAATCCTACTTTAATCCCGATTATTAAATCTATGCTAACGGAACAAAGGCCAGCCTATAGTGGAGGTAGACGAAAGATCAAATAAGGATGGTACGTGACCTTGTTCTTTCTATTCAACAGGAATGACAGACAAATGTCTCATTGGCATCAGAAATATCGGAATATGCCGAAAATGATGACGCCAAGTCAGAGATTCGCCGTCGATTAAGGGATACTTCTAACCCGCTCGAACGTGTTGCTTCCTCCCTGTTTGTGCTCGGTTCGCAGCCTAGCAAGACTCAAGGCTCACAGCTTCGCGAAGATATCTCCTTATCTAAGAGCTCGAACCTTCCAAGTATTTCGGCAGAAGCGACCCTCGGTAGGAATTCAAAATTCTATAACCTGACTGCTGAAGATCGGGAAAGGTTGGGAGGTATAGAGTATCGGGCTCTAAAGATATTATTGAAGACCGTGCTAGGTATCGATCTTGTCATCAAAACTGTCTGGAGGATTGGGACTAACTCTAATGGTAGGGTACTTTTTCGGTCTCCATATAATTGGTGCAATATGTCTCGTGGGTTGGATACAGTATGCTGGTCCTAAGTACCGGGATTACCTAAAGGAATGTGGACAGAATCATATCTGGTGGTAAGTGCATCACCGAGCAGTATCATACTTTCATATTGCCGACCGGGATTATGCCTAAAGTAATGGGACTATTTGAAGCATTCGCCCAAGGCATTGCGGAATGGATTTTAAGAGCCAAGCGTATACTAACATCGATGCACTTTTAGGGCGTTTTATGCGGCGCAAACGATGGCAAACAATCTGGGGTTCACCCTTACCCCAGACTCCATGGTCAGCTTCCAAGACGCAACTTTTCCCATGCTAATCATGACATTCTTAGCATATGCTGGGAATAACCTCTATCCTGTTCTTCTGCGTCTCATTATTTGGACTACCTACAAAGCTACTCCAAGGCACTCGTCGCTCAGAGAGCCCCTGGATTACCTCTTGAAGTATCCTCGCCGATGCTATACGCTGCTTTTCCGTAGCAAACCGACTTGGGTTCTCTTTGGGATTATCTTCGTCTTGAACTTTGTCGATGTTCTCTTGATCGTTGTGTTGGATCTGCATAACCCCGCTGTCAACACCCTCCCTGGGGGACCGCGGGTGCTGGCAGCCATCTTCCAAGCAGCATCAGCACGGCATACGGGGACTTCGAGTTTCAACCTTGCCGATGTAAACCCAGCCGTCCAATTCAGCCTACTAGTCATGATGTATATCTCTGTATTCCCTATCGCTATTAGTGTGCGTGCGTCCAATACCTACGAAGAACGTTCACTTGGAGTGTTTTCCAGCGACGGCGAGGTCGACGAGAGTAACACCACGACTTACGTCCTGTCCCATGTGCGAAACCAACTCAGCTTCGATCTGTGGTACATCTTTCTTGGAATATTCTGTATCTGCGTTGCCGAATCGAACAGAATCATGGATCCTTCTGAGCCGGTGAGATCGCCTTGAACATTCAGCTCCAGAGCAGGGGTTAATAAAGAATAGGGGATCTCCGTCTTTGCGGTATTCTTCGAGGCCATTTCTGCATAGTAAGCTACTAATCCATGAAATACTCTAGAGAGGCGTTAACGTTTCATAGCGCAAATGTCGGCCTCAGCTTGGGGTATCCAGGAGTCAATACTTCTTTGAGCGGACAGCTGTCGACTTTCAGTAAAGTCGTTGTCTGCCTTATGATGATTCGAGGAAAGAACCGCGGGCTGCCCTATCAATTAGATCGGGCTATTCGTCTCCCCAGCGAACGCCTGGTTGATGACCAAGTGGATTCTGAGTCGGATAATCCGTATACGGACGAGAAATTGGATCCGATGGACGTTCGAGACCTGAAAGTGAAACGGTCTCACACCAAATAACATCGGTTTTGGGTCACACGACTATACATCGCCCGGATAGACCCCCATACATGTTTTTAGGTGAATGGATTTTGTAATAGACAGCAGAAAATTTACCACTTGGTGGCCTATGCTCCCTACCATTTGACAACCGAGCGATGAAACCTGGCTAGTGTAAGGAAAGCGCTTACTAAAGGAAATGTACTCTGTATTGTGTAAGGTAACCTAAGGGAGAATAAAGAAATTCAATAGATAAGACTAAAGGGGCGCGTGATGTCGCCTGACTCCAATAGTGTTTTGATCTATTAAGCAGCGCGAAACTTTGAAAGGCCGAGATAAGAATGACAGATAATAAAATCCTCGTGCCCGTTAGTTGGAGTTGGCCGTGCGAATACCAGCTCCCTAATAAATAGAGGGAAGAAAGCTTCTTCTGTCTATGGATTTTTATGGGTCGGTGGAGCGATGACATTGGTTATGCCGTCATAACCTTTCGGTTGGCACTGCTGCTTTGCTGGTTGAACAATCCATCTTTTTTTTTTTTCCGGGCAGATAGAAATTGGATGCTCTATTAAAATCTTCACGAGTAAAGAAAAGCACAGTTTTTGTCTGTTTTGATGATTTCTACACCGCTATCTCTTGGGAAAAAGCAAAGGGGAAAAAAGAGTCGTCCCACGGAGGAAAGATTCTCGAATAGATTTCAATAGATTCATTCCTTAGTGTTGTGACGTCGCGGGACCCATTTAAATTCTACTAAAAAAAGGATGCCAACAATCGCACTAGAACTGTGGCCAATTTGCGAAGAGAGACGGCTATGAATACGGAGTAGTTCTTTATTCTTAAATCAATCGCCTTCACCTTCAACTTCTTTGTCCAGCTCTCTTCGCTATACCGGTACCAGTTACAGACCAACTAAATTCTCCAACGACCCGTTGAATACCGCCTGAACGCCACATTACCGACCTTGCGTGTCCATTGGTTTCGCTCCACCAACATCCTTGTTCTCCCGAAACCCTTCCTCTATTTTTTTAAACCCCCGAATTCCCATTGTTCTCTTCCCTATCCCTTCTATCCTCCCAGAAATCTTAAGACGATGAGCTCGTCAAATGGGACCCACCGCAGACAGGACTCCGTAGACCCCTTTTCTCACCCCGACGTCTATTATGGTGACGAGGAAGCCAACGCGCGCATTAAGGACCGCAGACGTGCGTTCTCAACGGTAAGTAGGGGACCCCGGAGTAAGGTCAATAATGTCAACTAATCATCCCTGGGTGTGCACGACAGAACCTGAACCAGTTCAATCGCCAGGATATCCAAAATTTCCTTGGTGGAATTCCGGCAAGAAGAGGAAGTCACGGTAGGTGTTTTCTTCCTATCTGTAGCAATCCTGAGTCAGGTACACTGACGCACGTGGTCAACAGATGAGATTTCGGCTCAACCCCGCAAATTCCTTATCGATGTCGAACAAACGCTGGAGAGTCTCTTGGAAAGGGAGGATACGGACAGGAACATGCAGATAACCATCGAGGATGTAGGACCCAAGGTGCGTGGATCGGTGGTCCTTTCAGCCCCTCTTCTCCCGCCAGGCCAACACTAAACCGGGCTACAGGTGCTTTCCCTAGGGACCGCAGCATCGTCCGGATACAATAAATTCGATGTGCGAGGAACGTACATGCTCTCCAACCTCCTGCAGGAACTTACTATCGCTAAGGACTATGGCCGGAAAGTCATTGTCCTTGACGAGGCTCGTCTGAGCGAAAATCCGGTCGCTCGTCTTTCCCGTCTCATTAAAAATTCTTTCTGGAACGCCCTGACTCGCCGGATCGATGGGTCCAATATTGAGGTAGCGGGCCGAGATCCCAAGGACTGGACAGACGATCCACGACCCCGTATCTACATCCCACCGGGTGCTCCTGAGCAGCTGGAGTATTATAGGGGAATTGCTAAGGCACACCCGGAACTCCGTCTGGATGTGCAGGTGCTGGATTCAGACATCACCCCAGAGTTCGTGAAGGATCTCAACAGTAAACCCGGTCTTCTCGCCCTGGCAATGGAGAAGAAGTACGATGAAACTACCCAGAAAACCGAATATTCCGGGGTGCCATTTGTGGTTCCCGGAGGACGGTTCAACGAGTTGTATGGGTGGGACAGTTATATGGAGTCTCTGGGGCTGTTGGTCAGCAACAGAGTGGATTTAGCCAAGTCCATGGTGGTCAACTTCTGTTTCTGTATTAAACACTATGGAAAGATTCTGAATGCCAACCGGTCCTATTACCTACTACGTTCCCAGCCGCCATTCTTGACTGATATGGCTCTGAGAGTGTATGAGCGGATTAAGGGTGAACCTGATGCTCTGGAGTTCCTGCGGACTTCGATACTTGCTGCGATCAAGGAATACTACAGTGTCTGGACCGCCGAGCCACGGTTTGATCCAGTCTCTGGCCTGTCGCGGTATCGCCCTGAAGGGCTGGGCGTACCGCCAGAAACTGAGCCAACGCATTTCCTCCATCTACTAACACCCTATGCTGAGAAGCACGGTATGGAATTTAATGACTTTGTTCAAGCATACAATAATGGCATCGTTAAGGAGCCGGAGCTTGACGAGTACTTTTTGCATGATAGGGCTGTCCGAGAATCTGGTCATGACACAAGCTACCGTTTGGAGAGAGTTTGTGCCAATATTGCTACGGTTGATTTGAACGCTCTCCTTTACAAGTACGAGGTGGACATCGCTCGTATAATTCGGACTTACTTTAAGGACAAACTAGAGATCCCCCCTGAGTTTCGTACTGAACAGTCGAAGGACATTGCAAGCGAATCCTCATCTGTCTGGGACCGCAGAGCTAGAAGAAGAAAAATGAGGATGGACACCTATCTGTGGGACGAAGAAAAGGGGATGTACTTTGACTACGACACTGCTAAGCAAGAGCGGACCACTTATGAGAGTGCCACAACCTTCTGGACAATGTGGGCAGGTCTTGCCACTCCCCAACAAGCGTCGGAGCTAGTCAGCAAGGCTCTTCCGAAGTTTGAGGCCTACGGCGGCCTGGTTTCAGGCACTGAAGAGTCGCGTGGTGTTATCAGTTTGGATCGGCCAAACCGGCAGTGGGACTATCCTTATGGATGGGCACCGCAGCAGATGCTGGCATGGACAGGACTACTCCGCTACGGCTACCAGGAAGAAGCCGAGCGACTTGCATACAAGTGGCTATACATGATCACCAAAGCTTTTGTTGACTTCAACGGCGTTGTCGTCGAGAAGTATGACGTCACTCGGCCTATTGACCCGCACCGGGTCGATGCTGAATATGGAAACCAAGGTGTAGATTTCAAGGGTGCACCTCGTGAAGGGTAAGATTCTTCTTGTCTTCATGGCTCTCGATAAACATTTACTAACAGCGTCTACTTCTAGGTTCGGTTGGGTCAACGCCAGCTTTGTCTATGGGCTGGAGATTCTTAACGCTCACCAGCGACGTGCCCTGGGAGCCATTACCCCATATGAAACCTACAACAAAGCTGTGGCAATCCAGAACGACAGCGACTAGGTTATTACGACTTGAACGTTGCATGAGGCACGTGTTTTGCTTTTTGATACATTTGGCGGCCGTCATTGCTTCTGAAGGACCAGAAAAGACGGGGGTTTGAACTTGGCAACAAAATTACACAGTTATACTTACATATAGTGCGGTCTCTTGAATTTTCTCTTTTCATTACTTTTTCTGATTTAATTCATTCTCTGAGGTTAAATAAAAGGAAAAATGGATGGGAATAGAAACTGGCTTACTCCGTACACTTTGAGAGTACTTTGACGAGCTATGATCCAGCTACGAATGATACAGGCGCCACTTCTTTTTTTTTTTTTTTTTTTTTTTTCGCTTGGCGAGTTTGACTTTTGATATATTATTGTGTCTAGCAACTGTTTAATGAAGCATTTTAGGGTATAATCTGCTATTTGTTCGGGGGGCTTTCTTTTTCTTTTCTTTTGAATTCCCCCCAACACACAGGGACAACCAACTACAGCTCAAAAATTCTCCATTCTATAAACACCATAGGAAGGCTGCTCATACGGATGAGCCCTAGAGAATGCACGAAACGAGATAAGCGAACATGAAACACCCTATACGAAAATTCAACAAGAACCTACTTCTTCAATGCCTCAACAGCTTGCCGGGCAATATCCTCACTAGCACACAATGCCTCTACCCTGACCTCCTCCGTTGTCTCCAATTCGCCCACCTTCCCGATATGCGGGTTAGCTGCATCTCCAGGACGGAACTGGGAGGTGCCTGGAGTGGTCCAGCAGCACTCCGTGTAGTTCCCTTGGCCGGGGTAACGGCCTGCACCTGCAGAAAAGATAGCCGTCTTGCAGGCCGATACGGCGGAGGGGGGAACGAAGAATACAAGTCTGAATCGAGGGGACATTATTGAGTATGTGGTGTGGTTAGAGGGTTGGGGTTTGTCAGGCTGGATTTGGTGTAATGTTGAGGTTTCACGGGTGTGTTGATGTGGGGTTGTTTTCTAAGGTTGTTTGGTCTGGATTGTTGGGGGTTAATGGGGATGCAAAAGTAGCAATATTATGGCTTTCTAGTATATTAGACCTCTATCATTGCGAGCGCCAATCAATCGCGCCCCTTAATTCCGGTGATAGGTTGGGAATGGCAAATGATATGTGTGGGGAAGTATAAAGAAGGCTTTCGAGGTATTGACCATTGGATGCTCGACTATTGCTGTTGGGCACCGATGCAGACGGCACGGAGAGGGGGAAGCGGAATGTTTGTTGTGATAACGCTAAAAGGGCTAATTGCGGCTACCTTGCTAGCGTTTCATAGTTCAAGTGCAGATGGGTACTTCAGAGTCGATTGTGTCCAGTTGTGAAACATGCATTCACTGTTTAAGATGGAGTTATGATTTTGAAACTGTCTAAAAGGAGGGGTTAGATCTTGTCCATGATATGATTGCTTATGGTGTACTATAACCCCCAAATCATTTAACAGTAAGGAAGGCCTGTAGCTTAGGTATCTGGGCGTTTAGGGCATTGATCTCATTGGCATTAAGAGACTTGGGGGTAAAAATAGATGAGCTACGGACGTAGTGTAACCGGGCTGATCTACGTACACTACTCCGTACACTAGCTTTTATTGTAGGTTAATGCTTGGGTTTGGACCCTGGTGCCTGCTTGGTCTTTGCCTATTTGTTGACTGCTTGATCTGCAATCTGAAGGGTCGATCTATACATCACAGCCCAAGTGGTTCATTCAACAGTTCTTTGGTCACGACCAGACTAGTATGAGATTAGTAGCCGGAAGTTGATGGTCTTGAATGACTTCTGGAGAAGGTGAGTTGTTGCAATCGCAATGACTAGTATAGTCAATATTCAGTGTAGCAGTTTTCAATAATTTAGAGCGAGGCTGGAGATGCCAGTCCAATAGCCCCAGACGTTTGTGGCTATGGTTCGCCATCACAATCACAATCACAATCACATTAACGATGATGGTGACTGAAAGTGAGTGAAGAGGTTAGAAGCAACTACATATAGGAAGGTTCCTCTAATCGGAAATGCCTCTTCCAGTCTTTTACTTGTACTTGATACTATACACAACCCCTAAATTGTATAATGTCTGGGGTAGGTATGAATGCTTGACCTCGGTAAACATGGTTAGGGCGCGACAGAATCCGCAAGCGGGACCGGAAATGGCTGGCGACTGGAGGGTCGGATGGAACGGCACGTCGTTACTTAATCGTGACTGGATATCTTGACCTAGATTCGGTTCCACATTCTTTTAGACTTGATTCATCATACCCCGGAGTAAAAGGTTGCCAATAGCAATGAAATGTCTCTATCCGTGGTTATATGCGGTGCTTGAATGACACCATAGAAAAGCTTCTTAGGCATTCTTACTTACCTAAAGTCAGATAATCGACTGTGTTGCGGATTAATATCCGAAGCATTTGAATCAATAAAGATCATACTCCAGAAATACTCGAAAACCCACTCTTATCAGAGCCCAGATACATGAGACCGTGAAGACTAACCTACTCCGAAGTATAACGGCGCTAAGGTTATCAAAAAAAAAAAAAAAAAATCAGTGCCTGGACTCCTGGAGACCAACACAACCCGCTTTGGAGAGGGGTGTAGAATCTGCCATCTACACCTGCCTTTTTGATAATAATTGCTGATAAAGGAAAAGGATCTCCTACAAGCGTTGCAACTTCCGCATTCAAACAACTTCTTTTCTTCCTTCTCCCTTTTTGCCTTTTGGCTTCGCCTCTCCGCTCACCTCTTTTCCATGTTCGATAGGAAGATGATAATAGAGCATATCGCTATCCTTATATCTCGCTAATTAGATTTCTACGCTGCAAGGCGTTGACGCGGGCGTGTCCTTTCAGCCACTGTTCGCTGTTTTCTTTCTTTCTGCGCCGCTGATTAACTTCTTGACCAAATCGCCGCTCCAAACGTGGGCACACAGAGGGAGGTGTGACTGGCGAACTGAGTTCTTGATATGTGTCAATCATAATCAAGTCGCACCCCTCTCCAAATTTGAACTCCTTAATTGAATTTATGCGCAACACAAAGAGTCCCAAGATAATAAGCCACGCTGAACCATGGAAAAAGAGGGCACATTTGCGGCTATACCGCCAGATTATGCTCCTAGAGAACATGAGAGACACGCGATGGATCCACCACAAAGGATCACCGCAGATACCGATAGTGATTACCATTCAATATCACCTGAGGACCGTCCGCCTCAAGCATTCGAAGGAAAAGACGAAGAATGTCGCCCTTCCTATGCCTCGGACACAAGCCACGATGCTGCGGTTGTAGTGCCGAGAGTAAATCGCAGAGGACTCTTTGGTCAATTTACGCTGCTGGCGGAAGTTGAAAACCCGAAGACGTATTCTCGGAAGAAAAAATGGTTCATCACTTTCATTGTTGCGTGGGCAGGAGCCACAGCCCCTATGGGAAGTGCAATACTCTTCCGTAAGTCGATGCCCCTTCTAAGTCTATCTTGATGGGACATGGTTATTTACTGCGTCTAGCTGCCCTCTCTCAGGTTACCAAAGAGCTAAGCTCGACAACCACTGTGGCGAATCTTAATATCTCGTTGTACATGCTTAGTATGTCGATTTTTCCGTTATGGTGGTCATCTTTCAGTGAAAAACTGGGGCGACGGACTATATACCTTGTATCGTTTTGTCTCTTTGTGATATTCAATGTACTCTGTGCCATTTCCAAGTCAATGGCCATGCTTATTGTCATGCGAATGCTCAGTGGTGGAGCTTCTGCTTCGGTCCAGGCGGTCGGTGCAGGGACAATTGCGGACTTATGGGAATCTCAAGAGAGAGGCCGTGCTATGGGAATATTTTACCTTGGACCATTATGCGGGCCGTTGGTGGCTCCTATTGTTGGAGGTGCTTTGGCTCAACGCTGGAAATGGAGGAGCACGCTATGGTTCCTAGCAGCTTATGGAGGCATAACCGTTGCGTTCATATTCTTCGCCCTTCCAGAGACGTTGATATCGGCAAAATCCCCTAGTCCTAATACAAGTAGCGAGCAACAGGAGCCGATTGGGCGTCGACTGAGCCGAGTCTCTTCCCGGCAGGTTGTGGGGTTCACTACAAGGTGGCTGAAGCTCCTCAAGATGGCTCTCGTCGATCCGCTGAAAATTGTGCTTTATCTTCGATACCCACCAGTCTTACTGACGGTATACTACGCAAGTATCACTTTTGGCTCTCTTTATGTGTTGAATGTCAGTGTTGAACACACTTTCGGGGGCGATCCATACAACTTCACTACGATCCTTGTCGGTCTGCTCTACATCCCAAACTCTTTGGGCTATGTCGTCGCCAGTACATTTGGAGGGCGGTGGATGGACAATATCATGCAGCGAGAAGCCAGAAAGGCACAAAGATATGATGAGAGTGGCAATTTGATCTATCACCCCGAAGATCGCATGCGTGAGAATGCCTGGCTTGGTGCTTTTTTGTACCCTGCTGCGTTGATTTGGTATGGCTGGACTGCAGATCGGGGTGTATTCTGGCTTGTGCCGGTATGGTGTTCATTTCCTCCTCCATTTTCATATACTATGCTTTATGGCTAGAGTAACTAAAGAACGTATTTCCGCAGATGATTGCAAATTTCTTCTTCGGCATAGGATCTATGCTTATCTTCAGCATGGCAACGACGATGCTGACGGAATTCATGCCCAAGAAGGCTTCATCAGGAGTCGCACTGAATAACTTCATGAGGAATATTTTCTCCTGTGTCGGCTCTCTGGTAACAGCTCCTATCATCGACGCCATTGGTAACGGATGGTTATTTACTATACTCGGGATTGTTGCCTTTCTAAGCAGCTCTGTCCTGTTTGCGATGAAGGTCTTTGGGCCGCGCTGGAGAAAGTCGATGGATGCACTCAGGCATTGACGAGGTTAGTAGAGTCTAGCTGTCTAATTGTGGGCCTTGAGAAGGCGTGGCGTTCTAGAACTTTCAAAAGATTAATCTTCTTCTCTTGTCTATTGTCAAGTTGGGCTGCTGCTATGCATTGTCATAAGCATGGTATGCATTCTGTATATAGCAGTCCTGCCACTTTTTTTTGTTGCAGGATTGTCATCGCCCACACCTCGCTATCTTGGAAGAAGCAAAATCAAGTACCGAAAGGCTGGAACTGTGAATATGTCACATGGTTGGTCTGGATAATTACTATAATGCTCCCTGGATGATGTTGCTGTTTAAAAATACCCGAAGCATGAGTCATGTTATTTTTAGAGCTAATGTGAAGTTGAACGTTGTCAGATACCTACTAAAGTTCGGAGGGTTACCTCTTCCCGCCCTCTCATCATAGGTCCGTGCAATAACTCAGTGGGCAGCATCAACCTTGGAAGTACTACGGAGTATATCATGAATAGAGTTCATTGGGAGCAAAGGTGGCTGCTAAATGTGATTCACAAAAAGTTCTTCCCATTTCCCTCTAAACTCCGTCCCAAGTCAGAGCTAGCCACCAGGGCGAGACAACGAGCAAAATGGAGACAGATCTGACCTGTCTTAGTTTCCCTTTATTCTTATCTAGGAGATTCTACTCAGTTATCGTACCCACATGCTGCCTGAAACCGACATTTGAGGTGCATGGGATGGAGTCGATGATCCTCCCGTATACTATCGATATAGATCGTGGAACTACGAACTAGGCCCATAATAGAAACCACGCATTGACCCGAGCAGCGCTAGGGTAGCTCGGACCAAGACGGCGAAATGCGTAGCAAAGCCATAGGCTACTATTGTCCTGCATTAACTTACTATCATGTTTATCATGGTCAGGTGGTGGTACACAAGGATTCACATAAGGCAAAAGTACATATCTGGGCCGCTGCATTGAGCGCCGTGGGATGACGTTCGGATTCTACACCCTACTAATGGCCTGTGAAAATCATCCCTATGCGATGAAGGTTCTCGACGGTGTCAGACTCTCCCCTACGCGTAAACGTTCCGCAACAGTGCCTCGCCGATGCATGTTACGTCAGGGTATTCACTATGATTTGCACCCCATCGACCAGCCGGGCTCGACGATACCGCAGAGATCTAGGGCAGTCGATTCGATGTAATTGCTAGCTGTTCGACTCTGAATGGCAGCTTTAATCTCGCGGCCATAGATCTTCACGATGTAAAAGTAGCATTGGCTCGTTGAACGCTAGCTGTTCACAGTGGGATGGATCTCGATGGATGGAACCGTCCACTGTGTGGAGGGATTAGTTGCTGGCAGCTTCAGTGTTTAGCCAAGGGACATATCTAGTCTAGCGTTGTTGGTTTGGTACGTTCTCGAAATTTAGTAATTCAGTTTGTGATTCTTCCGATATCGATGGATCTGCTTGTGGGCACAACGGCAGCCATTCACCGGCCGCCAGAACAGCGCGCCTCACTTTGTGGATGCGACAGGCCTTCGGTCAGTCCACTCTGTAATGGTTCTTTTTTTCCGGCTGGTTTTCGGTTGGTTATTCTGCAATTGTGTCAATCGAATTCTTTTTTCTTTTTTTCTTCATTCGTAAGATCATAGGATCAAATAATATTTATTGTCTCTGCGATGGATTCCGACGTCCAATTGATGAGGAAGGGGAAGAAAAAGACCGAGTGTGGTTACGGTTACAAAACAGAGACATCCACTATTCTCCATTAGGCGGTCCAGTGATCAACGGCACTTGCTGAATTGTTCATTTGTGGAGAAAGTCAACTAAACTTCTTTCAATCTGATCTCTGTGTTTCATCCCTCTCTCTCATCACTTTTTTGCCATCCGAAGATTAGTTGCTACAGTAATTCGAGAGACCGCCCTGTTCCATCTTCCTTAGCTGCAGCCAATCCCTCCCTAATAGTTAGGGTTATTATGGCCCGGACCCATTCGGACGCTGCCCGGAGCAAGCGTCGGGCAGAAATCCTCTAATTGATTAACGGAGTACACAGCATGAAGTACGGAATACTAATGGTTTCTAGCATCATTGTTGCATCTTGCCTCCATATCTAATGCTAGATGGATGGCATTTCGCTGCCCATCAACGGAAAATTCCAGTCTTGGTTGGCTGAGATCGTTTGCATTGGTCTGGTATCGACCATTAGCCTTACTTTGCTATCCGAGTCCTTTTTGGCAGCCCTGATGGTTTTCACCATGACGCATCGGCTAGCATCCAGTCCAAATGGATTGTCTGTGGAAAAAAAAAAAAAAAAAAAAAAAAAACCAAAACAAAAAAAAAAGAAAAAGCCAATTCCAACCGATTAGTGGCACCACCCCCACTAATACTACAGATTGTATGGAGCACCCAATTTTCTATTCTGAGTATGGTGTTTCCCTTTCTGGATCATCTACTCCTCACCAGGCCCGCCACCACTGCTTGCTACTGCAAGCTTCTCATGCAGATGACGGTCTTCCGGTTTTCTCCCTGCCCCAGTGATGCTTGCCGGAAATACGCCCACTTTCTATGTCTGTCCACAGTGTTATGGGACCCGTGAGACGTGGCCCAATAAGAGATTATGCCGTTGGGCAGTTCGTCAATGATGTCCCCAACCCCCATGCCCGAACTGCAGCTCGAAGTTGTCCCGTCCAACTGGGTCGTGGATGAAGTTCGATACGTCGCCTCGCTTGGTTCTCGAAATGAATTGTTTGCGGACTGGCGCACAATTACTGCTTGTACTTTTTGCCTTCAAGCCAATACGTCAGGGTCTGTCCGAACCTGACCTTTCATATTCCCATATCGGTTCATACTCCATTCTGATCCGTCGCCCCCCTGTTCTTTTCTTTTCTTATTCCCTTTGCCCCTGGCCCTGTCTAGACCTCCACAGGCGGGTGATCAAAACCTCCTCGACTGATCTATATCTAGTGCCCAGTTCCCACTCTAATTCAGACCATTCAAAGTTGTACAACATTACTGATCCAATGCTATGGCCAAGAAAGGAGGAAAGAACAAGAAAAAGACCAACAACAACAACAACAACAACAACAATAAGCAACGGCTACCAGTAAACAACAATCAACTATCAAACCCAGTGAATAGCCCCCCTATCGAGCCCGCCCCGGAAACGGCGGTTGAATCTGCAGAAAATGGGGAAACCGATCCAGTATGCACAGCTTCCCAAATTTGAGTACCAGACTTTCGAGCGTCAATATCAGACCTTCGACCGTCATACTTTGCAATTTTCATTCTATCCTGTTGCTTCTACATCAACAGACGATCTGACACCTGACAATGATCAGGGCAATAACCCCGCTGAGGCAGGCAATGTTCCAGAAGAAGGATCAAGTAGCTCGCCGACTGATGCTGTATCATCTCCTGAGGCTGCAGGTAAGCTCGTACATAAGCCTTTCTTTTATCCATTGCCTTGTGTGGTCCATGATTATGGAAGTCCTTCTTCCCTTCCCCTTTATCACTATGCTGTTGGCAACTAGTGTTGCCTCATTGTGGTTTCCTTACTAAACATATGTAGAATCGTCTGAAGCGACAACGCCGTCCCCAGACCCCGTAGAAAGCCCCGGTGAGCCTGCTGCAGAAGCCGATGGCACAACCCAAACGCCCAAGGATGAGAGCGCCTCAGACGACAAGAGAGACGAGCCACAAGCCGAGGGCTCTGTTCAGCACGCAGAAGCGGAACAGGATGCCACAGATGCTGCGAATGCAAGCGTCCCTGAGCAAGATGCTCAAGAGTCGAAGAATGGTATGCTCCAGACGATGCTAGTGCACACATTCAGCTGACCTTCCTTATAGATACTGGTATCTCAGAAGATGGTCCCTCTGATGAATCAGATAAACCCGCACCCGAGAATGGAGAAGCTACGGAACAAGTAGGTGAAGATGCTAAAGCAGAAGAAGAATCAGCAGCCAAAGAGATGGAGGGCCTTGACGACGGCTCCAAAGAGACTGAGCCAGTATCGGCTCTTCCTGGAGATGAAACAAGTGGCCCATCTACAGATGCGGAAGCTACTCCGCAGCCTGCAGATGAGCCCGCAAATCCTGATGAGACAGGCAACGCTTCGTCCGATGCACCAGCAACAGATCCGAATACAGATAATCACCCATCTGACCCTGTGCCTGAAGCAGAAACATCGACCGACAAGGCGTCAACAGATGAGGTGACAACTACAGAGGCTCAAGAGGAAATCACAACTTCGGCCAACCCAGACATTGACGCTGAACCAAACTCACCGGAGTCTACAGATAAAGTAGAGCCGGAATCTGGCGAAACGCCGGTTGGTGAAGCTGCTGCGGATGGGGAGAGTAAGGAGATTCCTCCAGCAGAACCTGTGCAAGACATACCCGCTATTGAAGAACCTGCGCCTGCAGACACCAATGAAGGCGCAGCCTCAGGCAAAGGCAAGAAGGGAAAGAAGAACAAGAAGAAGAAGAAGAAGAAGGGCGCTGTTGCCGTGGAAGAGCCTCCCTCCACACCTCCGCCTCAGGAACTGGAACAGGTCGAGGGTCCTGCTGTCGCTGAAGCAGAAGTCGAACCTGAGGCCAAGGAAACAGAAACAGAAGCGGCACCAAGTACAGACGAGATAGATGACAACCCGGCAGAAGTCACCGCTGAACCCGATCCATCTCCCGGTGAAGATCAAGCCGATGCTGGAGCAGATGCTAATACTGGAGATAAGAACCCTGAACCCACGGCAGAGGAACCCACTTCTGAAGAGCCTGTTTCCGAAGAACCTTCCGTGGATAAGCCTAGCGACGGTTCTGCTGCCCCGGAAGATGCCGAGCATGTCGCAGATGCTTCTGAAGAAATCCCAGCCGAGTTGTCTCCAGAGAAAGGAGCCCCTGAAGCAGAAGAACCCCCGGAGGCGGTATCCGAGGAATCGCCAAAAGAGGAGCAAACGGAAGAGACCGCGCTCGAGGGGGTTGAGGACAATGCCAGTGCTGGTGACATGACTCCAGGGGTCTCTGCAACCGACGAAAAGTCTTCTGCAGAAGAAAAGCCGGTTGAAGAGCCAGCCAACATGGAACCCGCTGAGCAGACACCGGCTGATGAGGGAGTGGACGAGGCAGCAGCAGCAGAGCCCGCGGCTGATGAAACCCCTGCAGAAGTTACAACCAACAACGAAGCAGAAAGCGACGAACATCCCACCGACGCAGAAGTTTCCGAAGAAGCACCAGTTGACACCCCAGCTACTACACCAGAGCCACAGGAAGATATAGTGGAAGTGGAAGAGGAAAAGGCTGGAGATGAGGTCGCCGAGGAATCCTCCCCAGTTAATGCTGCTCCTGTGGAGAAGTCCGATGACAAGAAAGCGGATGCCTCCGAGGAAATTCCTGCTGCAGATGCGCCGGAAGAAACGGTCTCAGAAGAGTCTACCACTGCGGAGGAACCTCAGGCTGATGATCCTTCTCCTGTCACTGAACCTGTTGCAGAAGAACCTGCTCCGACGGAAGAGCCTCCTGTTACCGAAGCAGCTCCTGTCACCGAGGAACCTGCTGCTGCTGAAGACGTTCTTATCGAGGAAGCGCCTGCCACTAAGGAATTGCCTGTCACCGACGAGGCTCCTGCTGCCGAAGAAGCTCCAACTACTGAGCCCGCTGTTACCGACGAGGGCCCCGTCGAAGAAGCCGATGCCGAAGAAACGCCTCTCACAGAAGAAGTACCTGCTATCGAGGAAGCTCCCGAGCCACTCACTACTGAAGAAGCTCCCGCGAATGAACCTGCTGTCACTGAAGAGGTTCACCTTGAAGAAGCCCCTGTCGAAGAGCCACCTGTTGCTGAGGAGCCACTTGCAACTAAGGAAGTGCCTTCTAAAGAAGCCCCTGTTGTTGAAGAACCTCCCGCGGTTGAAGAAGATCCTGTTGAGGAAGCACGTATTCCCGAAGCAGCACCCGCTATTGAAGAAGCTCCTGCTGAGGAAGTTCCTGTTGAACAAGCACCTGTTGAAGAAGCACCTTTTGAAGAAGTTCCTGTTGAGGAAGCTCCTGTTGAGGAAGCTCCTGTTGAGGAAGCTCCTGTTGAGGAAGCTCCTGTTGAGGAAGCTCCTGTTGAGGAAGCTGCTGCTGTTGAAGCTTCTACTCCTGAAGAAGCTCCAGTTACTGAGGAGCCTGCTGCCGCCGAAGAAGTCGCTGTTGAAGAAGCGCCGGCGCCATCTGTATCGAGAGGAATCACCGTCGAGGAAGCCCCAGATGTTGAAGAGGCCCCAGCGGAAGAGGCCCCAGCGGAAGAGGCCCCGGTTGAAGAATCTCCTGTTGCCGAGGAAGTCCCTCCCGCTGAAGCTCCTTTCCAACCCGCTCCGGATGACACTCCATCTGAAGAACCTGAGCTAGTTGAGGAACCCGTAGCCGACTCGCATGTTGTTGAGTCAGCACCAGCTGATCCTATTATCATTGAACGTGGCCCCACTAGCGATGATACGCCTCCTGAAGATCTTGTTGCCGACGAACCAGCTGTCGGGGAGGTACCTTCAGAAGAGCCAGTCTTTAAAGATTCAGCTGCTGGAAGAGAGCTGTCTGAAGAGGCAACAGACCCTACAAGCGAATACCCAGATACTGTTGACTCGCTCAAAGATGACCCCTCAACTACGACCGAAGCTGCCGCTGGAATTGCAGCCGGAGCTGCAGCCGGAGCCGCCGCCACCGGCTTGGCTCATGGCCACAGAAAGAAAAAGCGACGAACAGCCGACATGGACCGTGAGCGTGGTCACTCCAAGAGCTCCTCTGACGAATACCCGCCTCGACTGGAACGACAGAAGAGTACTAAACGCAGCGGTATCTTCACAACTCGATGGGCGGAAGCCTTGGATGAGGCGAAGCGGCAGCATGAGAAGAAGGCCAGACATGAGGACAGACGGAAAGAGAAGACGATTATAGTGGAAAGGGAGCCACGCCGTTCATCAGGACGTGAAAAAGAGCACGAGCGTGTAAGACGGTCCGAACGCACCGAGCGCTCTACGAAAGAAAAAGAACCTGTGCCTGTCAAGACAAGACACAAGCACTCAGAACACTCTAGCAGCAGTGATCGCGAGCGAAGTGGGAGCTCTTCCTCAAGACACGCGCAGCCCTCAGCGCCAAAGCCTAAAGCTTTTCTGAAGTATATGACATCGGGAGAGTCAGACACCAAACCCCTACTGAAAATCAACGGCGACAAAGCTGCCGCAAACATCTATGAGCCTCATAGGAGATCTTCCACGAGCCGTTCACATGGCCACCGCCACTCTCACGAGGGACGAGGCTCCACTGAACGCTCCAGCGGATCTCACCAGACCGACGAAGAAGATCGAGCTCGACGCGAAGCTCGCAGAGCTCGCAGAAAAGCTGAAGAAGAGGAGCAAGCAAAAGCAAAAGAAGAGCCTGAGCAACGCCATCACCGTCATAGCGGAGAAGGACACCATCGTCACCACCGTCACAAACGTGCTCCGTCTCCTCCACGGAGCGGAAGTTCCAAACTAAAGGGCTTTTTCAAGTCTGCTATTGCTGCATATTAAAAAACTATTATTCTATATTTTCCTTTTCTTTTCCTTTGTTTGCCTCTTCCCTTGCCTCTTCCGTTTCCTTCTGAATACATTTTCAGAAATCATTATTATTTTAGCGGGGCCTCTTGTTTCTTCTCATGTTATTGTTTCTGCTTTACCATTTATTTCATGTAAACCCCCTTTCTTGCTTGTCTCTTCCCTTCATGTTTTATCTTTGAAATATAGCATAGCGTTCGGGTGAAGGAGGCATAGCAAAGGTGTTATCTTTTCTGTTATGTACTTACCTGTCTGAATACTTTTCTTTCATGTTGATGACTATTTATTTATATTCATATTTCAAAAGATATGTAACATCAATGCTACCTTCTATTTATTGATATTACCCATTACACCAGATTAAGCTCAGTGAATACCCTTCCCTAACCTGAAAGCTCCAAAGTTATGTATTCCCCAGGCATTACACCTTCTCTGTCCCATCACGTCCAACATTAGTAGTCGAAGACTGGTAGACACCATTATACCCCTCTACAGATTGCCCCAATTCCTCAAACACAATCTGCGCGAGCTTGGCATTTCTGTACAAAACAACCCCATTAGGATTCTTCACTTCCATCAAAGCCCCCATAGCACCTTCATATCCAGCATCGATCACACCAGCAACAATGCCGACACCAGACCGCCACAACGAAGATCGAGGGAAAACAGTCCCCATGCAATTCAGTGGAATTCGAACCGTTTCATTGAAATCGATCAGGTAGGCGCCTGGCTGTAATATGATTGTTTGACTGGTGTTGTTGTTATTGTTGTCGAAGGGCAGGCTGGACGTTTTGGCCGCTTGGCGTTTTGTATTGTCGAAGTCTATCGTAGCTGCTGAGGTCCATTTGGAAACCTGACGGAGAGTAAGGTCCACGCCACATGGCTGTTGTTGCTGGGTAAGGTGTCGTAGGCTCCGTACCAATTGGCGGGTGACGATCCCGAGTCCGCTGAGAATCATGATAAATGTAGCCTCTATTTGAACGGAATACCTAGAATGGTGATGATAATGGAAAGTGCAATTACAATGAAATGAACAAAGAGTACACTCGCATCTAAAGAACCGTAAGCATCCTTATTTTTACTATCTAGTTCCTATCTCCTACACCGCTTGGCTGGTGACGTGCTTTTAATCCCAGTTTACGTTTTGTCGCCCCAGCTTAACCTTACATGGATTACGGAGACTCCGTTTCGGTCTCTAACTGACCTTTTAGTAGGTCCCTAAAATAACTGATGTGGACTTGCTATTTTGCAACTTATGCCCCTAGCTATAATACATCACAGCACCGGAATGGCCATTCCATCTCCTCTCTGGTCACTTCCTGCACTGTAGACCAATTGCCCCTCATCATAGTGGCAACGAATAATTTGTCCCCTACCAAACATACCTCTCTCCCATCCTTCCAATACCTTTACCTGGTGGCCGAGACGCTTCAGGCCTTCGACAGCCTCGTCGCTGATGCCTTCCTCTACATAGACACTGCGATCAACAGGTTTGCCTAGCTCCGGTGAGCCAGCAGCAATACAAATCCTCGGGGAGTCCAACGCCGCCTGCGGGTGATAGTTGAATGCAAGCATATTGAGTAGCACTTGGACATGACCCTGGGGTTGCATAAAGCCACCCATGACACCATACACTGAGTGTAATGAACCATCAGAGACGTTGGTGATCATCGCAGGAATAATGGTATGGTAAGGCCGTTTCCGCGGAGCCAGCGCATTTGGATGACCTGGCGCTAGAGAGAAATTGGCTCCCCGATTTTGCAACGTAAACCCGCAGCCCTTAGGGATGATACCAGAGCCAAATCCAGCATAGTTACTATTGATGAACGAGATGCCGTTACCCTCCTTGTCTGTCACTGCAAAGTAGACGGTGTCACAATGGTTGTGAGCTGGGCTACCATGGTCAAGGATATCAGTCGCCTTGTCCGGGTTGAACAGTTTTGCCCTCTCGGCCAGGTATGCAGGAGAGATAAGTTCGCTGGTTGGTACCTTCTCCACATCGGGGTCGGTGACCCACCAAGATGCATCAGCGAACGCGATACGCAGACTTTCGATAACTGCATGGAGATATTCAGCAGAGTTATGCTGAGCCTCTGTGAACTTCGGAATCTTGCCCATTTTTTCAAGTTCCTCAAGGATTCCCAACGCCATGAGAGCAACGATTCCCTGCCCATTTGGCGGGTGCTCCCAAATCTCCACTCCTTGGTTGTCCTCACCATCTGTTCCTGCAGTCTGCTTCTCAGCAATACTCTGTCCAGAGAACTTGAGGGAGATCGCTTCCGTCTCCTGAGTCCCAGTCTCTGCATGGTACTTCAGATCATCTAGAGTAAGGTAGCCTCCCAAATCTTGCACAACTCTTACCAGCTCCTCCGCAACTCGCCCTTCGTAGAATCCCTTCTTGCCATTGGCCGCAAGTGATCTGAAGGTCTGGGCAAGCGTAGGGTTTTTCAAGATTTCACCGGGAAGAGGGGCTCTGACACCATCTTTAGCCTTCTGGTCTGGCTTGAGCATCTCATGCGCATTTGGGGATGCCTGTCGAAGGAGGCTCTCGCCTTCTCGCCACTGTCATATATTGGCTATCAGTCCACATTCTGAGACAAAGTGACATTGCATGTCTTGGATGAGACGGCCCGGTGACCAAGAAGGTCTTCACTTACGAAAAAGGACGATAATTCGGATACAGGAAAACCATTCTCGCCAAGTTCAATAGCCGGAAGTAAGATCTGTTCCAAAGACAGCTTACCACTTCCGAATTTCTCTATGGTGTCAACCCACCCGGCAGCTGCGCCGGGAGTTGTCACCGCATGAACGCTCTTCATAGGAATGGTTCCAGCGTCATTTGGGCCGACATTCAAGTCAGTTCGAATTTTCTCTAGTGTAGCATTCGCAGGGTACCGCCCGGATCCATTAAGGGACTGAACTTTCTTCGTTTTGGCATCGTAGAAGAGACAGAACATATCTCCTCCAATCCCCGTTGATGAGGGCTCAGTGATGTTCAATGCAGCGGCTATCGGCGATATCGAGTCAGTTTCGTTTCATTGTACCGACGAGATTGGCATTACGTACCCACGGCTACGGCAGCATCCTTTGTCAACCGTTAGCATGTTCCGGAAGAACGAAGAATTGAGGTAAAAACGTACTGCAGCATTTCCTCCCTGTTGCAGGATTCTTTGGCCTGCAGCAGCTGCCAAAGGCTGGGTACACGTCACGATCCCATTTGTGCTATGCACAGTACTTCTCCGACTCGTGAATGGAACGAAGTCGGGGTTTAGTCTAGAGTAGATGGCTTTCGAGTTGAGGGGCATTTTGGGTTGAACTATTTGCTTCTGCGGTCGTCGTGAAACGAGGTCTTACCCGTAGGAAGGATGCACAGAGCGAAAGGGAAAGCAAACTCGTGTCCCTTTAGTAGGGTCGAGGGGCCTTCGGCCGAGATATTAGTTATAGGCTTCCCCATAGTTTCCTTTACCCCGCCGGGTTGTCTTCGGAAGGCACCGTATAGTTGGAGTCATCCTATCTTATCGGTTACGTGCGCGGTTGGAGTCGTTGATAGGCTAGAACTGACGAAGTCGGCCCCATGTGACAAGGCACTGGAGCCCGTCGATGACCATGACATTGACCATGGCTTAGTATGGCTTGAGATACGATCCAGACGACTCTTTTGAAGAGAATGTGAAAGTGAAGGATGCTTTCCAAGGATTCGGGGAAAGTCCGCCTCCAGTCGAGACCTTCCTAACTTGGAAGGTGGAGTAGTGGTAGATGTCTCCAAATTAAGGAAAGCGCTACCTCGTGACCCCAACCCGTCAGATGCACGCGCGTGATTCCGAAAGATAACAGTAGATCAATTCAACTGATCGATCGATAAGATATTGTCTGAAGAACTACAAACCGGTGGAGGAAGCTTTGGAGCTTATCCACTGTCCCCTGGAATTTTGTTCAGGAACAATCCAAATCAGGCAGGATAGGCGCGAAAACACGTATCAGACCCAGACTCTTCTCATCGGCATCTTGTTCACCGAGACGAACCACCTACTTATCTCTTGCTGTGGTCCCGCACCGAAGACGGAGAACAACTTCCCTAACCGCGTCATCCCACTGCTTTCCATCACCGCGTAACTGTATCTTTTAAGTTCATAATTCAGCTTTAAAGGAAAGAGAAGCTCAAGTTCTCTGTTGCATCTTTAAACACTTTGTCTGGCGTTCGTTTTGTTAACTTTGCGCTGCTTCTACCAGCTCTTCAGCTCCTATCAGCAGTGCAGATCTAGCTCTTTTCTTTTCTTTTCTTTTTTTATTTCATCAGTACAACACAATGGTGGTTTTCGTGGACTTGGACCATGATACATTCAGCGGGGATCAATTTTCGCTTGGTCCCGATGCTTTGCCCCATCTCTTCGCTGAACCGGCGAAGTTGACAATGTCCAAGTTGACGGTTGTCGGGGCTCCACAGTCCGCAAAGCTACCTAGTGACGATGATACTTCTACCGACCCAGCACGCGATGCTTCACAGTTTCGCCTAGAAGAACAAAATCAAAATCAAAATGCCTTCTCAGTTGCTCTGAGCTGCTATCCGTACGCAACACTAGTGAACCAGGCCACTCTGTGTCTGGTTCGGTATTGTGGTGCTGACTAGAAGGTTCAGGATCGTTAAAGAGATCGCCCGATCAGTGGATCTTAACACACTGCACGCCCTATCCCGGACATGTCGTCAATTCCATGCGAATCTGGCACCCTACCGCCACCAACTAGTCAAGCAAACTCTACGCTGCGAGAATGAATACATTGAGACACTATCAGATCTGCTGCGTAGCGGTACTCCGATCCTCGACAGCGTCAAGTCCGTGATCCGACTTCTAAGCCAAGAGGCCAGGAGCTCTGGGCGCCTAACTGCTGGCAAAGTTGCCAAATGTGCCCGAGACATGGTTGGCGAGTGTCGGCGATGTTCCAAAGTGGTTTGTCGCGTACGTTAATTGGACCCAATTGCCAGAAGCAAGGCAATACTAATAGTTCTGTCTAGAATTGCACAGCCAAACCCCCAACCAGTAGTATGCTTAGGAACCGCATCCGCCGTCTCTGCACCACCTGTCAAACAGCACCACTAGCCGATCTTCTTGCCTTGTCTCCTCCGAGTCTGTCTGCCTATGATACCCAGCCTTTGTCGTCCGAGCAGCCTAGCTTTACAACCGAAGCTTTTCAGCGTACTCCTTGTTCCTGTGCAGACTCTGTTTGGCTCTGCCATCAGTGTGGGATGTTCGTACGCAACAGTGACACAACGTACCGCCGAGTATGGACATGGCGGACCAGGTATAGTACCTATCTAGGAGGACTAGGCACTGGAATTGGTGAAGGCTGTCAAGGAGTTAAATGCGGTCGTGGAGAAACTTGCTTGGCGGCTCAAGAAATTGAGTTAGAGGTAGAATGCGAAGCAGACGGGTCTTCGGGTAGTCCACACGGAACAGGATATGGAAGTGTGGGATCACATAACCATCCGAACGACCGTCAGGACAGCCGTGAAGAGGAAGTGCCCGGGTATTTCCGACAAGAGATCATCGGAATTGGAGGGGTTGTCAAACATAAAGCCAAGAAACGGGTCATGGTGGGGGCCTGTGTAGTTGAACATGAGGATGAGAGAGAAACGGGCCAGTATCTGGTTCGTGAAGAGGCTGGGCAACATCGAAGCTGGTGTGGATGGTGCTGGAGAGTTATCCCATGCAAAAGTGACCTACAGAAGTGATGCAGACATCGAGAGATTTATTTTCAAGTTTAGCATCGCATAGCTAACAATGGATTTTCTACCACAAGCAATCACCGGTACATACAAGTACATCAATCAGTAATTCAACATTATCTAAAAGCATACAGCACAAACATCACCCAACCCCCAGCTCCAAACAAAACCCTCCCATCCCAAACAAACACCATCCTCCAACCATCAAACAACCCAAAAACACCCACAACCCCCCAGAAATAGCACGAAACAGATGCATGCCCCAGCCCAATTCCCAACCCGCCCGAAAACCCCGCATGCCAAAAAGGCAATCGCATTAAGCTTCGGGGGAAACCTGGCTAATGATCCTTTAAGCGTATCTGATCCGGAAATAGAATCTGCATCGGAGTGGCTGTGTTTGTTGGAAGTCGGGTGGTTGGTATTGAGTTTAGAAGGATCGGGGCTATGGAGCTTAGGTTTTTCTTGTAGGAGGGGATCTTTCTTTTCATCCCCTCTTTTCTTCAGTGATTGAGGTTTGGTATGTACATACATACATACATAGTGTATGTGGGGTGTGAATTTGGATTTGGGTTTGGGTTTTTGCTGCGGTTAAGTGTGTGTGTGTGTGTGTGTGTGTATGTGTGTGTGTGTGTGTGTGTGTGTGTGTGTGTGTGCTGGTTGAGTGTTCTCGTATTTGGGTGTTACTGTTACACTGTGTATACTACTATAGTAGTAGAGTTAAGGTGAGATATTACATCAGTTACACTATTTGTAGAATGTAGTATACTTAGATAACAATCGTGATCTAGTAGTAGAGGGTATAGATTTCAAAATGAACCAAAAGTCTAGTTATATTTGGTTTGAAGAAAAAAGGCAGACGGCACTATATGCCAATCAGCCTGGGGGTATAGAAATACATCAATTCATAAGATAAGGAGATTTCCAGCACATAGGAAAAGGAATGAGAACAAAGGAAATTCCGGCCGTAACAAAGGAAAAAACACCACCCCTCCCCAAAAAAGAGACCCTGTTCCCAAAGAAGAGCCCCGTTTATTTTTCCAAGATGCGCCGACCTATGAAGACCATCGGGGATGGCGCAAAAGAAGAAGAAGAAGAAGAAAAGAGATCGTGGTAGTTCTGTAACACAGCAGGTTGCGTATGAAATCGAAACCTTCCGAGTCATGTCCTCGGAGCCATTTTTAGAATACCGGGAATAGATCTCGTGGGGTCCATCTTGATTTCAGCCAGTGGAAGTCCGTCCTGAGATGATAACGGCTTGTGTAATCTTGATCGTTTCTGGGGATCTGGGCTGTTGTATTTCTTGTGGTACAGCAGGTGAGATGACGTTAAATCCGTTCCCGGTTTCTTCGAGCGAGTTTCCTCCAGAGTGCCTCTCGCTTATTGGTGGTATAATGTGCTCAGCAACAAGGGGCATCGTACCCAGGTAAAATTGTACAGTAGAACCAAGATTGGAAGGTTTTGCGCCAACGTGTCTCAGTGGTAGTGTGTGTGATTGGTTTATCGTCATCATGAGTTCTACATTGGCCTCAAATCGTGAATGACTTCCAGGACACTGGAGGAGGGAACTGTGTCCCAGATGGAAGCGCGGGCTCGTCATAGTTGAAGTGATGTGCTGCTGGCCAGGTTGGTGACGGATATTGGCATTGAAAAGGCTGTTCACTAGTCAGCTTTCTATTGTTGGCTGTAGACTGCGGTTGGCTTACATCGTTCAAAGGGACAGGTGCATAGCTTGGCGTAGCCAATGGCCCTTCTGATTGGTCCCAACACCGCAAGCTTGCATGCATAGACATTGGTGAGGATGTTAACTCGCTCTCAATGATGGGTTCCGGGTATTGGTCGGCAACCGCTGTAGGCGTTGAAGCGATAGAAGACCGAGGGTGGGACGGAATAGATAATGTTGCACCGTCTGAAGAAGGAGAAGGGCAAGCCTCTGGGCTCGAGTAAAATTGGCTATCCTCGATGGATTCATGAATGTGGTGTGGGGAATAGAGAGGTGTTTGGTGCTCTGACGGCATGTTCATCCCCATCCACATGTAACCAGTGTCGTTTGCTAGGTCTGGATGAATAGGTGGTGCCACGAGGGATCCAATTGACATAGAAGTCGTTGGTTGAGTTGCAGCCAGGTAGTGACCCGCATTGTGATCAACAGGTGCGGCCTTGGGCAAGTAATGAGTTTCAGATACCATTGGGATGTGACTCTGTCGGCTCCATTGCGCGTTGTTCATCTGAGTCTCAATATCACTGGAACATGGTTCATTAGCGGGTACTCAACCGATATTCAAGACTAAGTCGGACTTACTGTCTTTCTACATGACGCGACAATAAGTCAGGACGGTGAAACGCCTTTTTGCATCCTGGGTGGGTGCAACGGAACACTGCCTCAGGATTGTGGTTGAGTTCATGTCGCCGTCTATGTTCCGCTCTGGTGAAGACCTAGATGGGGGTTAACGGGATTCAATTATGTCGATGTAGAAGTCGACGGACCTTGTTGCAACCTGGGAACTCGCAGGCGTGTACCCTTTTACCCTTCTTCGCTTTACTGATGCGATGAGTGGTAGGAGTATAGGTAATTGGGAGAGGGATCTCCGTTTGAGTGTTGGTCCGGCGCATTGTGGTGGTAGTCTTCCTAGATGAAGCCTTGTTGTTCTGTGTTCGAGAAGTGGAAATAGTGGTAGAAGGCATTGCTCTTGAAGAGTTGCGTGGAGAGTTGAGGACTGTTGACAGATGGATAGGCGAGTGGGGGGAAGATATAGTTTCGGTTCCTGGGGCAGATCCTCTAGCCATGATGCAACGACTCAGGTGCCTGTCAGAAACAGAAGACTGTGTGGTATGGGGGCGTGTGGGGATGGTGGTGGGCTGTGATGCAAGTTCGTATATTGTCTAGTATAGAGGTAATTTTATAGGGCGGAAACGGATGAGATCAGACGGTACAATAAAAATAAAAAAAATGCCTCGCATATGCAAGTCAAATTGATGTAGTGAGATCCAGGGGAGGAGAAGAGAGACAATCTGAAACAGCCGGAATGATGGCAGTAGAGTGCTGAGGATGCTGAGGAACTGATATAGAAACCGTCAGAGTGGAATATGCGAGGTACCGCCAGAGATATGCTGCAGACCCTTGCACGGGCGATGACAGTAATGAAAAAAAAAAAAAAATAATAATAATAATAATAAATAATAAAAACTAATGATGATAATAATGATAATAATAATAATAAATGGATATCAATTATTATTAGCCTTTTTCATAGGACGAATGCAATTAATTTAAACTGGGGGGAGGTGTTCTTTTGGAGAATAATAGGATTGTCATCAAACATAGCAACAATCACAAATAGATAGGGTAAGCGAACAGTGCTGATCAGTCTGCAAGATGATCATACCAAAGGGCAAAAGAAATTAAATAAACCAGAGAGCATGATGGCTATGTAAATGGAAAGCCTCAAGAAGACATGCATCCACATCCGGAGCTAACAAGGAATTAAGAGAGTCAAAAAGAAAAGGAAAGGAAATAAAATAAAAATTAAAATGATATTAAATCCAAATGGGTCAAAATCATATGGATAAAAATATAATCCTGGGAAAGGAAATTATTATTTTTCTTCTTTTACTGAATTGGTTTATTTTATTTTAGTTTAGTTTACGTTCTTTTTTTTTTTTATACAAGTTACTCATGCGGCGTGAGAAGCCAGGGATCTGATTGAAGGGAAACAAGCATGGGTGTATTATCCACCGGAAAACCAACAGACAAGACCCGTATTGACTGGTGCGGCTGAGGCGCAAAGTTGGGGGAAAGTATGCCTGACAGAGTCGACAGACAGATTATTTTTATTACACCCTTACTCCATTCGTTAGTAGTCAATTCAAACGGTACGACTGGGTCGACTAAGGGTTAGAGCGACAGGGATCAGGCCCAAATACACTTCAACGGCTTTCTGTTGGTGTGATGCCACTGCATCGCGAAAGCACCCAACAGAGCCATGGTTGCTGGATCTTCATTCCCCAGCGCCACGACGATCCAGAAATATTGACCTATAATTCAATTTAGACCAATCTATTTGGGTTAGAAGACAAAAAAGGAGTATTAAGGAGAAGATGAAGGCCAGACTCAACGTGGACCATTCTCAGGCCACATCGAGCATTTTCAACAACCCTAACACTACGAGGCTTTTTAATCACTACTATGACTAGTCGTTGTAGTCGCTGGAGCACTGATACAATCTTTTTTGGAAATTCCAGAACAACTACCAGACCAATATCTAATCCAAGTATTTTGAGGCTACCGATATGTAGCATAAGATTTGGTAGATAGGAGTATAAAAACTGGCACGGTTGTTAAGGATAATAATAATGATCAATCACAGTAGAAGTTTGGGATTCAGCTGCATGTATGGGTATTAGTGGGAAGTGTTGGTACGATGAATATCTCATGATTGGCTCCCTCGTATCTTCGTTCGGGTCCTACCCTCTTTTTTTTTTTTTTTTTTTATTTAGTTTCCTTTTTGCTTTTTCCCACACAATCCACCGTGTCATAAGGTAATTACTACGACTCCCAAACTACAAGTGGAATCTCAGGTTTAAAGCCTCAATGGGGTCCACTCTGGAGATGCACTTGACCTCCTAAACCATCAATGATCCACCACAACCAGCCAAGATCCAGAACCACTTCCGTACGGAGGAAGTTTGTAATGTGGAAACCCATCCGTCGGTCAAATCGAATTTTGACACCGAACAGCTAAGGCTCGGTCGTTAGCCTTGGGAAAAGAGGCATATATCGCGAGTCGCGACCCAACCTGCAAAATAACCGAAAAAGGAAAAAGAAGAAATCAATTGTTTCAACAATCGCCATATCACCGCCAAAGGAGAATAATCTTAAGAAATGAAATGAATAACCTAAAAGCTATTAATAACAACACCCCCCTCGGATAAATCAGCATTGTGTATGGGTAAGCATTGCCCACTGGAATGCTGATAGACTTTTGGACGAATGGAATTTGTCATGGTTACCCTCGCCAGCGTGAGCGTGCCAAAAGCAAAGCCCCTCCAACGGTGTGTGCCCCACTTGCCCAGGGGGTCAAGAAAACTCCAAGATAGCCAAAAAGTGTTCATTCTCCCCTTTGAGCCGTAGTTTCTTTGGTCGGAAGCAATTCATGCGGTCCGACAGGTGCGTCCGTCTAATGCTTAGGTCTCCACTCCTGTCGCCTGGCCAGTGTCATAGCACCAACGATCGATCTCGGCGTCGGCTCCTTAAATTTTCTTTTGTTAGTAGGGCAGATTCATATCATGTGTACTCCATATGTGCGCGTGGATTGATTGTCACATTTTCATCACTGGCCTATTACCCGGTGGAGTTTAGCCTCGTCGTAAATGCAAGGTAGGCGGTTCCCCTTGCCCTTCCAAGTTCCCACAGCTTGAAAGCTACCGTCGATCGTGTGGTCGGTTCCAAGGCTTCTTCCCCATGCTTGGGAGTCTGCCTGCCAAAGCGATTGATTTTCCTATCCAACCCGTCTGTCTCCTTGCAAAGAATGCACATTATCCGACTGTCGCGGAAATGATCCATGGTTGCTGATTGGCGTCTATTTACATGGCATACATACCTCCTGTTGGAATGGAAGCATATCCCAGGTCAAACCACGTGCGCCAACGTTGACGAGAGGAATTAGCAGCATCGGGAAGAGCCCGATAATCCCAGTCACAAATTTCCAATAAGCACCTTACTCTCACCGGCCAATGACCCCCCAGGGAATAATATGAGTATCGGACTTGCCGGTAAACTTATCGGCTATTCCGCCTGGTAGTACTGTCGTAGAGAGTCATTAATTCCTAAGGTACCCAGATCCAGCGGGGTCATGTTCTGGAGCACTGGAAATCACGGAAGAGGGAGACCCAGAATTCAAACTCTCCAACACCTCTTCCACAATGCAACAAAGAAATTTTAGTTTGACCCAGCCCTGTGGGTCAGTGTCGACCATATCTATTATCTACGCAGTATGCCCGTCTAAGTTATCCCCTGGTCCATCCCAACAACGTGTGCTTTAGCTTGTTTCATCGATCCAGTTGATCATTGCCTCGGGGAACCAAAGGGGGCAGATCACATAAGTAGGTTTCCCTTTTAATATACGCATTTGAAATGAAGGTCCCCTTCGGGCTAGCCGAATGACAAAATCGGAATTGAACGGCAAAGTAAACATGGCTCAAGGTGGGGAAGACTAGGGAGGTGTCGGGGAACAAACAGGGTGTACGGAGTAATTCTGGGGAATCTCAAGCTCCAGGCGAGCGGCATGAGTTGACAACCACGGTCCGTAGGTCAACTACTTTTCTTATTCCAAATTCAATGAACTTACCATTTTGCGCACGGCTCCTATCGGCTTCTCAAGCGATATGTTGTAGACGAGAGAATCGCCAGCACAGGCGGGGCAGCATCCGGAAGACAAGGTTGGTGGAAATATATCAAGATTCTGCGCGACGCAGAGCAATACACGCGTATCAACTTCCATAGTAAGCGGGCTTCCATGGCTCTTCCATGCGTCTTCTAAACCCCGAATTGTGGTGACTCACGGCTAAATTCTTGCAACCTGGATCATTTGGTTCCCCTGGCTCGATAATCTCGGTCGTTGATAGATTAATCTAATAGCGTTCCAATCGAGATTGTGCATCGTATTTGCGTAGTATATTTTTTTTTTTTTTTTGGTGGGGGAGGGGCCTTTGTAGCTCAGGCAATGCGTAAAAACTCAGAGGCATACAACACCTGAGGTGTCTATTGAAGCGTGTAGGACCTGTAGGTATGCTAGAATCTAACCCATCCAGGGAATGCTTGGCGAATGCGTCCAGCAGAGCGATCCTGGGAGGTACAGGCTTAAGCACACTACTCTGTACAGTTGGAGGCACTAATGTGTTAGCTGTTAGTACTGTCATCATCATCATCTGCCCCCAATAGCCCCCCAGTACAACTGCGATGTAGCACTAGTACCCAGCCCTGAGGATGCCATGGGGACATCATGCAGCCTGCATTGGTTCGAGAACAATCACGTGGAAGAGGCCCATTGCAGCGTTGATGATCCTTCCGCGTAAGGTGAGTAACATCGCGCTACTGCAGTAAGAAACTCTGCGGTTTTGGAATGTCATACACAATAGGGTTAGAATTCCAAAACGACTGTCCTCATGCACGGATATTGTTGCTTGACTACATCATGGGTTCACGAAACAGTATGTACTCCATATGCGGTTCCCATGATGCTTGTACAAAGCAACAAGTGCTCATCAACTTGGTAATAACTGACTAACAGGCCGTACATGCATCTTTTGAGTCATGTGCTGAGGATCTCCACCAAATTTATGGAACCGATATTACGCACTAACCTGTAGTAGACTAGCCAAGCCAACACCTGCTAGGGACGGTGATTGGACAAGCCCCTGAATGCTAAACCGAACGGGATGCACTCATCCGCACCTGAGGTTTGGTTGTGAGAAGTGTATGTACAGAATATGTCCGGAGCGCTTATGGACATTATTATCTGCATCACTCTTCTGGCCCACCCACGGCTGCTGAAGTGTGCCCTCATTCCCACACCTATATAGAGCACATACAAGCAAAAACACAACTTCCAAATCCTCAGGAGCAGTCCGTACTAAACCCTTTAGATCGGAATCACGGCAGAGAACTGGAGTCCGTGGTGGCAGGATCCACCGCCGGAGCCAGAATCTGCCCCGGGTCGGCCGTGCGTTCTAACCCTCAAATTTCAAGCCCATAGGTCCAGGTTCTTCCTGGGAAGGTTTACTGCATA